GTGCATGGCACACCACATACACTCATTTCTGACAATTCCACGGGTTAAACAAGTCAGGGTTTAAAGACTGTGCCAAAGAGTGGGACTTTATCCATGTCACTAGCAGTCTAGAAATTTCCACAGTCAAACAGCCTGGCAAAAGGAGCGGTCCGTAGCGCCAAACAGCTGATGGAGAAATCTCACAAAGATGGAACAGACGTAATCCCCAGTTTCCTAAATCTGAGAACCACTCCTCTTGAATTGGCAATTGTTGTAATGACAGACCCTGTCAACCTTTCCCATTAACTCCAAACTGTTAGAACCAACTCCTAAACATGCCCAGCAAGTCACTGTACAACTATCCTATAAAAGAATGATCCAAAAGCAGTACTATGTCTTAGGTCGTTCACTGCAAATGTTGGCAGGGGGTCAGAATTCAAACAGTTAAAACAGTCTTGACAGAGTAAATGAGGTTAACAAGGTTCTTCAGTCTTACACAGTCCAATGCAATGGGAGGAACATACAGGAGGAATCAGGTATCTGAGTACCTGCTAAAAATATTTACAATGGCTATTTCTATATTACCAATACAATTGTTTTTTAATGTGTTTTCCTAATCTGGAGATAGACTCAAGATTTGTGTTTGTAATGATTCAGTTACTCACTGTAACAGTTACACTGTTTTAAAAGAAGTCATTCACATTTACACGAGGCGTCAGCGTCAACGCTTCCTATTCACTTTAAATGGGTGACGTCAGGCGTTGCCGAACTGCATTGTGGATCTGTCGGCGCCGCTTCAGAGGCATTGCTCGCTGCAGAAGTTGGGACTAGCTCAACTTTTAAAGCGTCGACAGAAGCGTCAGCCAATCAGATTGCTGTATGCAAATACACCAGCTCAGACAGTGGCCTATTGTTGACTTAATTTCATTGGCTGTAGCTTCTATGACGATCGCTTCAGCCCCAACTTCAGACACGCCTTCAGTCAAGCAGTGACGCTGAAGCCCCGTGTGAATGGGGCGTAACATTCTTGGTTGTTAACTGAGTTTATGTCATTCTGTGAAAGTTTATTGCCAAATGCTCTTCCTTCTGTATTTACGAGGTTTCAGTTAAAGGAGGGTGTGCAGATTGTTATGGGGAATGATCTCTATTATTGTGATTCATATTGACCTTATTCTAAAATGCAGAAGTGCGCCTGTTTTCTCGATTGTTTTAGAACTTCGATTCAGTCGCCTATGGAAGAAATGACTAGGAATAATAAACAGCAGAAAACGATCAAACTACTTGCTCTACAAACAAATGTTTGCATAACTATATAGACCAAGTAGAATAATATATTAAGAAAATATCAGTTTGCAACATCAAACTGCGAAACGAGCAGCTTTTAATGTCTAAAAATGAATGGAAGTGTATGAGCCCGGAAGTCTCGAGCCAAAAAGATTCAAATGGCTGCGCCCACTCGTCGCCGAAGAATACGGTGAATAGCCTGGAGTGTTGCACTTTCAATGTGTTGGGCTCTTTAAGAAGGGTCACGAAACACTAAAACACTTTCTTTTGAGATGTTGACAGTCTTATATGTGTCCCACGCGGCTAAAAACCCTATTAGGACACATATATATTCAATAAAAAGTGAAAATTGGTTGTTTTTGCGGTATTTCGAGCAAATCTGTTCTTCCGGTTTGAAAAAAAATTTTTGAAGCTACGCCACGACGATTGAATCTTTGTGTGAATTCCAGTTTGTAGACTGGATATCTGTACCGGCCAGTACAAAGAGACATCTTTGAGCTTTCGGCATTAATTTATGAGAAAGATTTCCAAGTCTTTCCAGACTGTCAACCCGCGCACTCTATTGTAAATGAAGTGAAACTTCATTGATATGCATGATAGCTTAGAAGACCTTACCTGTTGCAGTGTTCAGATGGCAGAAAGACGCCACGTTGTGTTGCCAACTGTAATTAAAAAAAGTGGAAGAAGAAGAATTGTTTGGAGAAATGGGTCGTCAGTGTTGCATTTATAAATGTGCTGCAACAAAGGTTTTGTTTTCAATCTGCAGAGCGCAGCTGAAATCACGTGTGGATTACAGTGGTCTGCTAACACGTGAGAGAAATACATTTGTAAGGAACTCCCAAGAGCTGTTCGAATCTGGAAATACTGAAATTGCCGCTCATCTTCTTTAAAAAAAGATGCAGTTCTTGTTAATGTTGATTGTCCTTTGTTTGTTTATTCAGATGTCAAAGTTTGTTTGTATCGTCAGCAGTACTCTTTTAGTGTTTAAAGACATACCTTAAGCGAATGTGCAACAGCTTTAATCATAAGGTAAACACAAAACAAAAGTTTCCATCTGGAGCTCTTTTATGGGGCTCGACACTTATAAACAGCTCTCAGCCCACACTTATCACCGCTACCATGCTGACCAATCACAGAGCTTGCACTATGCGCTGTTGCAACGTGTAGTTATATTATTTGAGAGGTGCTTATCAGCCATGGTGAAGGCCATGCGATCGTGCGAAGGCTACACCAGAGCATATGCGTGCACTTGACGCAGAAGTATAAATCATCCTTTATTCTGGGGCTTCATTTGAGTGTATGACAGGAGACATGCAACATTTGCTTTAAAGAACTTGGGTTGTAAGAATTGAAATATTACAAATATTTTTGATGTCTTTGACAATTCAAAACATGAGCTGAAGACAGGGCCAATTAACTCCACAACCCACCAGTGGGGAATGCGTGAAAAACCAGTTCCTGCTGCATTTGCATCTGACTATGCTGAGACTCAGCTTCATCCCCCCAACTCACGCATATGGTCATTTCAATGTTTTAAATTAACCAAACTGACTTTAACCATCATGTTTGATATCATTTGAAATGTCTCAGTGCGATTGGTACAATGGTCTCATTCTCTCAGAAATAGACATAATCAGAACAATAAATATATAACTTCAGGCATCTTTTGAACCACTGTGAGGGGTGTGACTTTTTACACACACCCCCTTCCTTGAGGGAATTCTTGGATTATTTAAGGCAAGGTTTGAGAAAAACTCAGGGCGATTCTGCCTAACCAGATCAGCCCATAACATGGCCTGTTCCATGTTATGTATATTTCAAAGTCAGGAATGCATCTTTTTCATCTTGGATTTATCTTTGATAATTTGATGTTTTGTATTGATCGTTTATGAATTGACTGATTGAATTGGCATAATACATTTACCTGACTAATAAATTGTTATGTTTTGAATGATTCAAACAGAGTTCGTGTTATTATCTTTAGTAGATCGTGGTAATTTCATAGCACCACAAGCCCCTGTTCAGGTTAGTAGCGGACTAGAACACGGTAGACGGAGCATTGCGGCACGTTACACGATGTCTCTAGAGCTCCGACTAACAAATTGGCATTTATTCATGTATACTTAGGCTGTAAAAGGATATCTAAGGGGATAGTCCTTCACCCGATAAACTTATAATACTATTTAGATAGTATAGTGATTATTCAAAGTTACTACTAGTTTAAGTACGACTGGTCTGCTTAATTCTATAGTAATGATCGTTATATGACTAAATAGCTCTGTCTGATTTAGGAGGTAGCAGACCTATGGGGACCGCATAAAAAATATCCTAATCTGAGTAAGTAGGGTTCTGCCTTTTTAGGATAGCGGTCAATCGCCCCTGTTTAGTGACCAAGACTGACATGCTTGTGCTTAAGAAATTGTATACTCGGTCGGTACAAGAATCAGGATGTTATAGAGATCCCAATGAACGAGAATAACATAAAATGATGAACCGAAGAGAATATTCAATCATAATCTAAATTAATGTGAACGGAAACAAAATAACCTTCTCAATGTTTTATAATTGGAGTCAGATAAAACGAGGATAAATATATTAATATTCTAATAAACCATCTCATACTAAAATTGGAGTCAGATATGAGTTAAGTTTAATATAAATCAACATTGTGCACTGGAAAGATCGAACATGCAGTGAACCTTCATCCACCATTGGATACCGTCATTGGACCAACTGGCTGGACCCTACATGGGTGTAAGTACACATTCTCGCTCTCATTTTACATGACCAGGTATCACTTGTCTCCAGTGAAGACATGCGTATGCGTTTAATAAACTGCATTTGTACAGTGCAAACAGAGTGGAAAAACAGAACTGAACTAAACTGAAGATACAGAAAAGTCAACAAAGAAAATAAATCACACATGTGTGGTGATTTATCATTCTGCATATAGGCTAATAGCTACAACAGCTACAAGGCATCAGCTCTGCACCAAAATCATATGAAACAGAACGCTAATATTTTAACCAGCTAATATATATATATTGAAATATTAGCCCCCCTCTTTATTTTTTCCCCGTTTTCTGTTTAATATATATATATATATATATATATATATATATATATATATATATATATATATATATATATATATATATATATTATGTTTAATAAATTTATTCTGTTATATATAAACGTATTCAGTTTATATATATTAGCTGGAAAAAATATTAGCATTCTGTTTCACATAATTTTGGTGCAGAGCTGATGCTTTGTGGCTGTTGTAGTTATTAACATGACACTGAAATATGTCATGACTGCACAGTCATAATCATCATTACATGTGAAATCTAAAGACGTGTTAATGCCTATTTAAACAGCTCCAAAAAGTGCACAATGCATTTACTCACGGTGATGGTTGACCGGAGCAAGATGGCGGCAGCGTTGACGTACCATTCAGTCGCAAACAGGGCGTCTTGCATGTCTATCCGCTTGTTAGGTCGTGACGTAACGATGACTTATGAAATACTGTGTCCGTGTCCAAGCCGCTACTCATTTGAATTGAAAAAAAAATTGTTTTCCTTCTTTGTAAACGTTTATTATTATCATATGTTGTGTCTCCCCATACAGACCCGGAAGCCGCTTTGCGTTACGTCACAACAAGAGGATGACCTGTCCTGCGTCGCTGGTTGCGTAGCGACCACGATACATAAAGGAGTTAAAAAGTAATGGAGTTGACTAAACGTGCAGGTAAACAGTAAAAGCAAAAAAGCCATCATAAACATGGTTAAGCAAACCATTGAAATATTTGCCCGTGTGAAACCGACGAAGAAACCCACCTCGGTGAGTGTTTTGCTTTTGTACAGTGCAAAGGATCGGCTTTGCAGTTTGCAAACATGTAATGGGGCTTAGCACATATAGCAATTATGTTTGCATATAATGTCCTAGTTATTTTATTTGCATTGTACACCTTATTATTTGTCCAAAATAAACAATGATATACAGACAACGAAACTTAACATGGAAAAAATATAGCAGGTACAATGACAGAAATAAGTTAGTTTCTTCTTTTAATACTGTATTACGTTGGGGGTAAAGCTAATAGGCTTTCCCTATTAAGAATTCGCAAATAATACTTTTCTGAAACGATATTATCGAGAGAAAGTCTGAATGTGCGTATGTAACGTTAACCAACTTTACCTCAGTGTGTATTCTAAACAGTCGTGACCCGTAGAAGTAAATAAATATGATTTCAATCACATGACTATCACTATAACGTTACTGTAATTTGCAAATTTATTTGTTTACCTCACCTGATCATACTGTGTTGTTCTTTGGTCTACTGTGGTAACGCTTATGTCTTATATATGTAGACATGCTTGAAGAATATATATATATATATATATATATATATATATATATATATATATATATATATATATATATGAAGTCAGAATTATTATTTTATTTTTTTTTTATATTTTTCAAATGATGTTTAACAGAGCAAGGAAATTTTCACAGTATGTCTGATAATATTTTTTCTTCTGGAGAAAGTCTTATTTGTTTTATTTCGGCTAGATTAAAAGCAGTTATTAATTTTTTTAAAACCATTTTTAGGTCAAAATTATTAGCTCCTTTAAGCTATTTTTTTCAATAATCTACAGAAAAAAACATCGTTATACAATAACTTGCCTAATTACCCTAACCTGCCTAGTTCACCTTATTAACCTAGTTAAGCCTTTAAATGTCACTTTAAGCTGTATAGAAGTGTCTTGAAAAATATCAAGTAAAATATTATTTACTGTCATCATGGCGAAGATAAAATAAAACAGTTATTAGAAATAAGTTTTTAAAACTATTATGCTTAGAAATGTGCTGAAACAATCTTCCCTCCATTAAACAGAAATTGGTGAAAAAAATAAACAGGGGCGCTAATAATTCAGGAGGCTAATAATTCTGACTTCAACTGTATATGAGCAATTCTATGCATATTTTATCAATTTTTTTAAATTCATATCCATATTTCGGTTTTGTGTGTGAGCAAGTATTTTAGTGCTTTAGAAATCCTCAAAAATGTCGCTGTCAATGTTTTAAACTCTAATATTTGATTTACCAAAGTCAAACAAGTGGTAATTTGACATCTGTCACATCCATAATAACAGTTTTTCCTCATAAATGCAAAAAGCTTTTTTGTTCTATAGTGAGCCAACTATTATCCTTGATTAGCATTGTTTATTTTGGGTTGTGCAGTTTAATTCAAAGAATTTCGCAAAAGTATGTTATATGCTGTAAACTTGCTGACTTTTTTGGTCACATCCATAACACGTTTTTTTTCTCATTTAAAGTACAAAACATGTTTACAGATTGATATTTTTCTGATCCCATAATTCTGTGGTTAGTTGTTTCAGAAAATATAAACAGATGTTTCAATATAATGTTAATAATGTTAACATATGCTTTCTCATATACTTATGTGTTGAGATTTTACTGCAAATGTCACATCCATAGCGCTGGAATTGCTTATATATATATATATATATATATATATATATATATATATATATATATATATATATATATATATATATATATATATTAGAGAGAGAGAGAGAACGAGAGAGAGAGGTGACCTTACATGATTACAAATTCTAAAATTAGTGATTGAGGTGAAGTTGGGTTTATATTCGCACATTTGTTCAGTGACAACTTGTGACATGCTCCGTATATGGTTTGCCATGGTAACTTTACTATCTACTATTCGCTCTGAAATCAAATGTAAGTATGACTTGTGAACAACATTAGCACTATTTGTTTGACTGTAAACAATGTTGTACTTTGATAGTCATTTGTTGCTAAAATTATTTTTTTATTCATCATTTGCAAAATAAACTTTTCTGAAATGATATTATTAAGGAGAAACTCAGAATGTGTGAATATAAAGCCAACTTTACCTCAATAAATGAGTGTACTCATGCTGAAGCATTCTTATTGCAGGAGTACTTTGCGGATTGTGATGAGCAGGGCGGTAGTTTACTGTTTTTGGTTCCCAGAGATGCGGCTGATGGTTTTATCAACAATAAGAGGGAAAACTACAAATTCAGGTAATGTGTAGAAAAAAAAATAGAGCGAGAGAGAGATAATAAAATATAATGAATATATCTTTAAGCTTGTAATTATTGCATATGGCGTTATTCTTTAGTTATGTATTTGAAATCAAATTTGGATATCCACAACACACAAATAGGTTCTTGTTTCCATTTATTGCACATGTAGTAAAGCATGATTCTGCAAATTAACAAACACTTAATCCATTTAAAATGTTCTCAGTGCAAAATTTGAGTCTCCATGGCCTGTCAGCTATAGTTGGCAAGGCAAATCTCAGATTAACAAGTCTAAATGCCAATGATAGAGACATTTCCTAAACATAAGTGAAGATTTAAGAAGGCAGCACATGTTTACTTTACTCATACAAAAGACATCCCACAACTCATTCATTTTCTTGCCGGCTTAGTCCTTTTATTAATCCGGCGTCGCCACAGTGGAATGAACCACCAACTTATCCAGCAAGTTTTTTACGCAGCGGATGCCCTTCCAGCCGCAACCCATCTCTGGGAAACATTCACATACACATTCAAACACCCAATTCACCTGTACTGCATGTCTTTGGACGGTGGGGGAAACCGGAGCACTCGGAGGAAACCCATGCGAACGCAGGGAGAACATGCAAACTCCACACAGAAATGCCAACTGAGCCGAGGCTCGAACCAGCGACCCAGCAACCTTCTTGCTGTGAGGCAACAGCACTACCTACTTCGCCACTGCTTCGCCCCATCCCTCAATTATGCCACTGAAAACTCATTTTAGATTTTTGAAATTTTCAGTTATTTTCTTTTCGGCTTAGTCCCTTTATTATTCTGGGGTCGCCACTGCAGAATGAACCGGCAGCTTATCCAACATATGTTTTTTAGCACCAGATGCCCTTTCAGCTGCAACCCATCACTGGGAAACACATACACACTCATTCTCACACACACACACTCATACACTACGGTCAATTTTTACCCTACCCAATTCACCTATACAGCATGAAGAACATGCAGACTCCACACAGAAATGCCAACTGACCTAGCCAAGGCTCGAACCAGCGACCTTCTTGCTGTGAGGTGAACGTGCTACCCACTGCGCCACTGAATAACTTTTTGAAACATTCATTCATTCATTTTCTTTTCGGCTTAGTCCCTTTATTTATCAGGGGTCGGCACAGTGTAATGAACTGCCAACCTATTCAGCCTATTTTTTACGCAGCGGATGCCGTTCCAGCCGCAACTCATCACTGGGAAACAATTATACACACTCATTTTTTAAACATTATGAACTAAATATATTTTTGGAAGCAACCGGTGTTTTAAAACATTTTCAGATGGATTTATTGCCAATTTAGGCATATCCCTGAAAAAGAATAGGTAAAAGCAACATTTGGTTTGATTCATATTTATTTCTTAACTGTAGGTTTCAGAAAGTGTTTGACCAAACAGCCAGTCAAGAAGAAGTTTTTGAAAACATTGCAAAACCTGTTGCTGATAAGTAAGTTGACATTTTCTTTTTTCTTATCTGAAAAATGTGTATAAGTATGCTATTTAGACAGAACATTTTACAAACACCTTTCCATTTAAATAATTAAAATAAGTATATGGTGGAAAACTATATATATATATATATATATATATATATATATATATATATATATATATATATATTAAGGGTGTCACGATCCTCCAAATCCTCGATTCGATTACATTTTCGATTCTAAAGTCACGATTCGATTCGATTTTCGATTATGAATAATTATTTAATTAATTAATAACGAATTAATTATTTGTAGCCTACCATTTAAACTACCTGACTTGCATGGTCTTTGTTTTACCCATAAACAAATCATACAGTAAATGAATAAAGGTAAGTTACACACATAATTACAACCTGTCAATCAGTTTTTTCTGCGGGACTCGTGAATAGGCAGTGATCTGTGTCGTTATAATGACGTCGGTAAAAAAGGTGCACAACCAACAGGAACCAGCCAACAGTACCTAAGTTGTTAGCTAAAATGACAAAGTAAGTGTGTGAAAGTAAAAGATGGAAGCAGTCTACTGACCCGCTGACTGCCTTGACCCGCTGTCTCAAATGCATGACAATGTGTGTGCGTCTGTATCTGTGTGTGAATGAGTGTGTGTGGTCACGTGATGTGTGTTTTCAGCGGTAGTGAGGAAGGAGGGCTGCTCAGAAATGCTACACACCAGTGTGGATGTGGATCGTTGCCGTTCTAAAATGCCATTTAAAAACAAAGACATATTAGTGTAAACAGGGCCTGAGTGTGTATTTTTCGCGAGTGGATTTGCAACGGGTGCGGGGCGGAGGATCGCGATGCGCCTATCGTCTCTCATTCCAACCGTAATACGTACATAGCAGAGCTTGCAAACTGTGTTTTTTTTGTCGACAACACAAACGTTGTCAACATAACTCACTGGAAATCCAAAATACTTCCACACCGGCGACTTCATTGAAAGAGGAGAGGGTTTAAGTTTTGTCGACGGGTCTCCTGCGTCTGCAGTTTAACAAGCAATTCAACAAGCCTGTTTATACATGCTTGACAAGCCAAGCTAACGTGACATGGGGGCGTGGAAGCATCGACGATTCTATTTTTTGATTCGATAATCGAAGTTGAGCATAAATTTAGATCGATTTCGATTAAAAATCGAAATCGTGACACCCCTAATATATATATATATATATATATATATATATATATATATATATATATATATATATATATATATTCATTTGTGTAAACAAGCCATACTTTAATGGTTTAAAATTGTAAAAATAAGTTTATGATATTGTTATGATCTTTCAAGACAACGACATTTTTGTTGTTTTTGGCCCTCTAAAGAACTTTTATCATTGAGATGCACAAGGGTTAATTATTTTAACTATCATTTTTTTTTGTGATTATAATCTAACTATTGCTGTCAAATACAGTCCTTTGGTATATAAAATAAGTTTTTATGAACAATTATTTTAAGTATTGTAAATTTGGTTCAGTACAGGAAAAAGCAGCAATCCGTGGCAAATCATACAACACAAATACTCAATTTCCTGAAAAACTGTCCAGCTGTCATTAATATCAGAAGCATTTTTTTCATACTTTATTACAGCATTGTTAATGTTGCATCTTTTAATAGTGTGCTGGCAGGTTATAATGGCACCATATTCGCCTATGGCCAGACAGGAAGTGGGAAGACCTTTACAATCACTGGAGGAGCAGAGCATTACAATGACAGAGGGATCATCCCCAGAACTCTTTCTTACCTATATCGCTATTTCAGTATGGTTAGTAGACAATTTCATAATATTTTTCTTGAAGGCATGCATTCTTTAAGCTTCTGATTTGAGTGCTAATTTTGACTGGAACCAATATTTGCTGCTGAAGTTTGGCAAAGGCTGCTGCTTTTATTTAGTAGTAATATTTCCGATTCAGCACTTCAATAGTAATCAGACTGTTCATATTTATATATTTTTTTGCAGAACAACACAATGATTTATACAACCCACATATCTTACCTGGAAATCTACAATGAGTCTGGCTATGATCTACTGAATCCCCAACATGAGGCATCTCGTCTAGAGGATTTACCGTCAGTCTCAATTTTGACCCTCCTTTATTTATGCTTTTCAGAACTGTTAATTATAATATCCTTTTTTTAAAAGATCTGATTAGGTGTGCAAGACTGAGACTAATTTGTTATAATTTAATATAATTTATTTCCAGTGTTCATTTTGACAGTAAATTTGAATTTAGTTTGAGTTTTTTTAGTCTCACTTTTTAAAAACTTTAGTCTTTAATCTTTAATCTATTTAATTTTAGTAATACAGCAATTTAGTCATTTTAGTTTAAAAGTGTATACCTCAGCCCACCGGAGATTTACTCGTCTGACAAACGATTCCTGCCTAAACTTTTTTGCCTTATCTTTTTTTGTTAAAAAAATCAGTAGATAGATACTATATTACTATTTGTCATAGTTTTATAAAGCTGAACTGAATCAGTCTTAATTTAATCTACATCTACAGCAGCATTTTTCCTATACCTTTGCTGGTTTGGTTTTACAATCTGAAATAATGTTATGGCTTTTTGTTATTTCCGTAATCGCTATTACCCCGGCCGTTATTTGTTAATTCAGGTGGCCTACAAACATGTATTCTTTTCATCCTTTCTTCTTCAGCCTTGTGCATTTCCTATGGTCATAGCTCACTGTCATCTGACAGAGGGAAATAAGTGCCTGAATGATTGACAGCTAATATGAACCAATCTAAAAGGAAATCTATCACCATGATGTAACTGTCCTAGTGAACCTAAAGAGTGTATTTTCTGTTGATGGCTTTTTAAAGTTTTACATTTTGCATTTGTACGCGCTATACGCTTTCCAAACATGGAAATCCAGGTTATATAGTTCTAGACCATTATTCTAAAATGTTTTTGAAGAAGATAAAAAAGTTAAACCAGTTAAACCAAGGCTAGTAAAACAATCTTAAAACCTTTTTTTTAAAAACAGGTATAAAATGATTGGCAGACAATGTGAATGAGTTGGTAATTTAATTATTGTAAAACTTTAGTAAAATCGTAGATTGTGAATCCTGTGGATGTGTTATTTATTCATTTTTTTATTTAGACTTTTCATGTTGTTTTTCAGGTTCTATCTATCTATCTATCTATCTATCTATCTATCTATCTATCTATCTATCTATCTATCTATCTATCTATCTATCTATCTATCTATCTATCTATCTGTCTGTCTGTCTGTCTGTCTGTCTGTCTGTCTGTCTGTCTGTCTGTCTGTCTGTCTGTCTCTGCCTGCCTGCTTGTCTATCTATCTATCTATCTATCTATCTATCTATCTATCTATCTATCTATCTATCTATCTATCTATCTATCTATCTATCTATCTATCTATCTATCTATCTATCTGTCTGTCTGTCTGTCTGTCTGTCTGTCTGTCTGTCTGTCTGTCTGTCTGTCTGTCTCTGCCTGCCTGCTTGTCTATCTATCTATCTATCTATCTATCTATCTATCTATCTATCTATCTATCTATCTATCTATCTATCTATCTATCTATCTATCTATCTATCTATCTATCTATCTATCTATCTATCTGTCTGTCTGTCTGTCTGTCTGTCTGTCTGTCTGTCTGTCTGTCTGTCTGTCTCTGCCTGCCTGCTTGTCTATCTATCTATCTATCTATCTATCTATCTATCTATCTATCTATCTATCTATCTATCTATCTATCTATCTGTCTGTCTGTCTGTCTGTCTGTCTGTCTGTCTGTCTGTCTGTCTGTCTGTCTGTCTGTCTGTCTGTCTGTCTGTCTCTGCCTGCCTGCTTGTCTGTCTATCTATCTATCTATCTATCTATCTATCTATCTATCTATCTATCTATCTATCTATCTATCTATCTATCTATCTATCTATCTATCTATCTATCTATCTATCTATCTATCTATCTGTCTATCTGTCTGTCTGTCTGTCTGTCTGTCTGTCTCTGCCTGCCTGCCTGCTTGTCTGTCTATCTATCTATCTATCTATCTATCTATCTATCTATCTATCTATCTATCTATCTATCTATCTATCTATCTATCTATCTATCTATCTATCTATCTATCTATCTATCTATCTATCTGTCTATCTGTCTGTCTGTCTGTCTGTCTGTCTCTGCCTGCCTGCTTGTCTGTCTATCTATCTATCTATCTATCTATCTATCTATCTATCTATCTATCTATCTATCTATCTATCTATCTATCTATCTATCTATCTATCTATCTATCTGTCTGTCTGTCTGTCTGTCTGTCTGTCTGTCTGTCTGTCTGTCTGTCTCTGCCTGCCTGCTTGTCTGTCTATCTATCTATCTATCTATCTATCTATCTATCTATCTATCTATCTATCTATCTATCTATCTATCTATCTATCTGTCTGTCTGTCTGTCTGTCTGTCTGTCTGTCTGTCTGTCTGTCTGTCTGTCTGTCTGTCTCTGCCTGCCTGCTTGTCTATCTATCTATCTATCTATCTATCTATCTATCTATCTATCTATCTATCTATCTATCTATCTATCTATCTATCTATCTATCTGTCTATCTGTCTGTCTGTCTGTCTGTCTGTCTGTCTGTCTGTCTGTCTGTCTGTCTCTGCCTGCCTGCTTGTCTGTCTGTCTATCTATCTATCTATCTATCTATCTATCTATCTATCTATCTATCTATCTATCTATCTATCTATCTATCTATCTATCTATCTATCTATCTATCTATCTATCTATCTATCTATCTATCTATCTATCTATCTATCATCTATCCATCCATCCATCCATCCGTCTATATAAATTATTCATATTATATTTTGTTTGTTGTTCTTCTTAATGTTTTGAATTTAGGAGGGTTACAATCATGGAAGACCCAGACCAGAACATTCATCTCAAGAACCTGTCATTACTGCAGTCAGCCAATGAAGAGGAAGCTTTGAATTTGCTATTTTTAGGAGACACTAATCGTATGATTGCAGAGGTGAGGACACAAATCAAATCAAATCAAATCACTTTTATTGTCACATCATCAGCAGCACGTGTGCTATGATGAGTGAAAAGCTTGGAATTCATATATGAAACATGTCATCTTCAAAAACTTAATTTAAAAAGCTTTTAATTAGAATGCAGCTCAATATTAATATACTCTTTCGCCATGTTCACAGTCAATGGCAGTAGTCAACTGTAATACAAATATAGATATCCATAAAAAGATCTGCTTGTGAGACTTTAGACTAACTACAAACAAAGCATTCTGTGTTTATCCACCTTAGCAGGAACCTCTTTTTAGATGTTTCAGCTGTTGTTTTGTTTATACCAAATGTTAAAATGCAGGGTTCAACGCTAAGGATTTTTTCTACTGGGCCGATCTGGCCAGTGGTAAAGATTTTTACTTGCCCTGCCAAAGTTTTCACTGGCCCCACGAAAAGATAAAATAGTTAATAGATATTTCTGAGCCACATATTTTACAGTTTTTCTCAGTGGCTTTGATGCATTTCTCACAGCACTATTTACATTTGCACAACAGTTAATGCATTTCTCAAAACAATTAGTCATTTGTACACATCCTAGTAGCAGTTTCTCATTCCTTCCAACACATTGCAGATGCTTTGGGACATGCATCAATTGCTTTCATACAACTCTCTGCTGTTTCTAACATTTTCATTTGCTTATGTCAGTCAAAATGAACTAAACTTGTAAATGCTGAATAGTCATCCCATATAAAACTAATAGTCCTCGTTTCATTACTTGAGTCATTACATACAAAAATGTTGAACTAGTTGTCAAAATCTGTCTAGCAAATTTTATAAAAAATTGTAAATCTTTATTTTCCGGAAAATGTCTTAAAAATTGAACAATATGATGAATGATTTACAGACCTGTGTGTGTTGTAGGTTCAGTTCCAGTATGTACTGCAATATTGTCTTCAGTTGCACAGCTCTCCCTAAAGGAAGTTTATGTTTGTTGTAAATAAGGGTGTGTTTATTCTTTTGCACAATGCTGTGAATAAATTAGAATTGTAAAGAGCAAATGCAGTAAAAATGTGAAACATACATATTCAGTGTCTTGTACTCAGATACCTCAGTAAATGCAGTGATGTCTGACTTTACTGTAGTGTTCAAATGGCTGTGCAAATAGTATAAAGTGCTGTCTTGAGCATTTTCAGCAAGTGTCACCAAAATCTGACTTTTTTTTGCATTGAAAAAATGTCCAGAGTAAACTGATATAATGAAAACATGACAAAGCCATTTGACTATCTTGTTCATAAACAATGGTGTCAGGACTTTTCATTTTGATGACACTGACACTTTGATTGACATGAATACTTGCTTTTGAGGAATGAACTATCTATTTTGAGCAAGTGACGCGCTTTTGCAGGTTATCAGCTAGGTTTTGCAGTTTGCACTAATTGTTGTGCAGTTTGCATCAACTGTTGTGCAAATGTAAATAGTGTTGTGAGAAATGCACCAAAGCGTCTGAGAAAACTGTAAATAATGTGGCAAAATAATGTCTGTGAATCTAGAATTTAAACATTTAAAAAATTTTAATAAAGTATAATGAGCAAAGTTCAAGATTTTATGCAAACAAAACAGCAGTATAGAAAATGTGCTGGTATTTTATTTCAATTTTAAATTATTTTTATAAAAATGGATTGCCAAACTGAAGACAAGCTAGTTCTTAATTTTGTACCCATGTAATTGTCTGCTTCCAAGACTTTAGAAACAGATGCTTTCTTTTTTGCCTCATAGTTTAATGTTGCCGCCATCTTTTCACTGTACTGGTTGTTACCAGGTTAAGAAAAAGAATAGCGTGCTCATCGTTATTGGCCGATAGGGGCCAGTAACAATCCTGTCTACTGTCCCGAGCGTCTTTCACGCAGTCCTTATTGTTGAGCCCTGAAATGGTCACCACCTATAATAAAAGAGTCATTTAGTTCCCCTTCGGGGGGAACTTCAGCACTATAAGTGGATTTGATTTGTAAAATCCACGCATTGGGAGGTTCGGTTCAGAAGCTACTCGTCTGAAAGAGTATTGAACGGGCCAATTAAGAATGAATTGGCAGCGCAAGCCTGCGCAGGTGAGCGGCATAAGCAATCAACTGAGTATATAAGCTCACCTGGCGCCAGCAGACGCTATCCTTTTCGCTTCAGAGACTTTCTGATCGAGTCGATGAGGGTTCCTCCTGCTGTGACCAGCGATTCTGAGCGAACGAGAGCATTCTCCCGGTCCAGAGTGTGTACACGCAGTGGCAGACGGTCGAGCTGGGTTTCTCCCTTGCCTGGCGTTCTTTGGGTCCGGTCCTCCAGAGCGGTGCGTATAAAGTTGCAAACTTCACAGAAAGAGCAACACAGTCGTGCAGCACGTCCTTATCAGGACGGCGCTCCGACTGTGCGTTTCTGGATGCGGTGGTTTCCTGTCCTCGGATGATGGGCGCGGGCACTGCGTTACATGTCTGGGGGTCCAGCATGTTAATGCGCTGCTCGCGGGCAGTTCATGTCGTCATTGCGATGCCATGACTGTTGCGCAAGATCGCGGTTAGCCTTTGCAAAAGGGTGAACCACCCCAGTTGTCCCCTGCTCTGCAGCGGGCACTCGGGCAGATCTGAGGGTTTCAGCGAGAGATAATCCGTCGCCCACGGGCCCGCGGACCTCCCGCTCCTCTAAGCGCTCCATCCAAGCTTCGGGCGGGGGAAGCGATCCGTCTAACAGATGGTAGCCCTTACGCCCGATGACACCGGAGACCAGATGTCCACCGCGGCATCGGAGGGTGGGCTTTCATTGTCCGATGATGATCCAGACCCGCTCGCCCCCTTCGGGCTGGTGAGCGCTGTCACTACGGATCCTGAAACGGACATGTTAGCCGTGCTTTCCCGGGCTGCTTCGGCCGTGGGTTGGAGATGGTTTATCCCCCAGCTCCGCGGCCGGACCGACTAGAGGGGCGTTCCCTTCTTCCCGGAGGTGCACAGTAGGCTCATGCGGTCTTGTAAAGCACTTTTTTCTGCTCGTGCTGCGTGTTCCTCCACCCTAACCACTCTTGACGGTGAAACAGCCAGGGGGTATGTGGCGATTCCTCAGGTTGAGTGCGCGATGGCGGTAAATCCGCGCGGCGCCTCTTCTTGGCGGGATCCGCCTCGTCTCCCATCCAAAGCCTGTAAGTTATCTACCTCCCTTGGAGCTAGAGCTTACATAGCTGCGGGCCAGGCTGCTTCCGCCTTGCATGCGATAGCCACCTACTAGCGCTACCAAGCGCAGGCGCTGGCCGAGCTGCACGAGGGTGGGTCCAACCCAGGCTTACGAGCTTCGCACCGCCGCCGACTTAGCTCTTCGGACTACTGAGTCCGCTGCGTGTGCGTTGGGGAGCGCCACCCCTGGCTGATATGCGCAAAGTCGACAAAGTCCGCTTTCTTGACTTCCCCATATCCCCAGCCAGGTTCGGCGACACTGTCTGTGAATTCACCCAGGAATTCAAGGCGGTGAGAGAGCAGTTGGTGGGTGATGTCTTATCGGCGGTCCGTAGCCCGCTCCGCCCGCCGTGCCATTCATACCTGCTCCTCGCCGAAGGCGCCCGCCTACGAGAGCTGCTCCGCCCCCGCACACGCCTCAGGCGAAGCGAGCGCGTCGGGCACCTCGGAAGCAGGCAGCCCCCCTGCCCAGAACGCCGCTAAGTCCGGCAACGGACCGCGAAGCGCCCCTGGGACAGGCCATCTGGAGAAGAGGGAACTTGCTCTTTCCCCGCTGGAGGGCGGGGCCCCATTTCCAACGGCACTTTTTACTGCCATGAAAACATTATGAAAGGGCACTTTTCACTTCCCCAGATGTGACAGCCCGAAATCTGCCAGTCTGGGACGCTATGCTTTCTAGCTTGCAGATTCGGTGCGTTTCGCCAGTGGCTCACGAGCGCTGGGAGGACGGTCTCCTTTCTCCCACCCCTCGAGCCTCCCCTCCGGAGCTCGGGTTTGGAGTGAGAGCAAATATCTCACCTCCAGCTTTTCCGTGGGACCCGCGAGCTTCCCGGATCAGCACACCCACTCCGCGCTGCCCCACTGCTGGTACGTCAGCGATTGTAGCGATGAGTCCATTAGCGAGAGCTCTGCCTGCCTGGTTAGCGCGGGCCAGCTCTTCGCGGTGGCTCATACGCACAATCAGACTCGGCTATGCGATTCAGTTCGCGAAACGGCCCCCCAAGTCACGGGTGTGTATTCACCAGGGTCAGCCCCCTGTCCGCCCCTGTCTTGCGAGAGGAGATTGCTGTCCTCCTGGCGAAGGATGCAATCGAGCCGCTCCCTCCAGCCGAGATGGAGAGTGGGTTTTACAGCCCACGCTTCATCGTGCCCAAAAGAGCGGTGGGTCACGGCCAATCCTAGATCTGCGCATTTTGAACCGCTGCCTGCACAAGCTGCCGTTCAGAATGCTCACGCAGAAGCGCATCCTCCGGTGCGTTCGTCCTCTGGGTTGGTCTGCAGCATTAGACCTGATGGACGCGTATTTCCATGTCTCCACTCTTCCTCGCCACCGACAGTTTCTGCGGTTTGCGTTTGAAGGTCGAGCTTGGCAATACAAAGCCCTCCCCTTCGGGCTCTCTCTGTCTCCGCGGGTCCTCACCAAGCCCGCGGAGGGTGCCTCATCGCCCCTTCGGCTCGCGGGCATCTGCATACTCAATTTCTTTACGACTGGCTGATTTTTGCCCTCTCTCAGAGCAGTTGATTATGCACAGAGACAAAGTGCTCTGGCACTTCCACCTGTGGGGGTTTCAGGTCAACCGAGAAAAGAGCAAACTCGCCCCCGTGCAGAGGATCTCTTCTCTCGGGCTGGAGCTGGACTCGGTCACCATGGCAGCGCGCCTCTCCGGAGAGCGCGCTCAGCTGATGCTGTACTGTCTGAGAGAGCTCGACAGTAAAATAGTGGTCCCACTGAAACTATTTCAGAGGCTCCTGGGGCATATGGCATCCGCAGCCGCTTCATGCCGCTCGGATTATTTTATATGAGACCACTTCAGCACTGGCTTCACGATCGAGTCCCCAGACGCGCATGGCACGCGCGCGCACACCGAGTCTCTGTTACTGCGCTGTGTCGCCGCGCCCTCAGCCCTTGGAGCGACCCCTCGTTCCTACAGACCTGGGTGTCTCTAGAACAGGCGTCCAGTCTTGTTGTCGTTTCAGCAGACACTTCCAACACGGGCTGGGGGGCTGTGCGTTGCGGGCATGCGGCTGCGGACCTGTGGAAAGGTACCCAGTTGCATTGGCATATCGCCTGGAGCTGTTGGCAGTGTTCCTCGCTCTCCACCGTTTTTTTCCGGTGCTGGAGCGGCAACACGTGCTGGTCAGGACGGACAGTACGGCGGCGGTGGCGTATATCAGCCGTATAGGGGGTATGCGCTCTCGCCGCATGTCTCAGCTCGCCCGCCGTCTGCTCCTCTGGAGTCATCCGCGGCTGAAATCGCTGCACACCATTCATATTAAGGCAAGCTCAACCGTGCAGCCGATGCGCTCTCACGGCAGCCTTGCGTCCTGGAGAATGGAGACTCCACCCCGAGTCTGTTCAGCTGATATGGGCGCGATTCGGGGAAGCCCAGATCGATCTGTTGCTTCCCCCGAGATCGCTCATTGCTAGTTGTTCTTTCCCTGACCGAGTGCTCTCGGCACGGATGCACTGGCTTACAGCTGGCCTCAGTGCACGCGCAAATACGCGTTTCCCCCAGTGAGCCTGCTCGCGCAGTTACTGTGCAAGGTCAGGAAGAGGACGAGGAACAGGTTGCTGGTTGCGCCCCTCTGGCTCAACCGGACCTGGATGTCAGAGCTCTCCCTCGCGATAGCCCTCCCCTGGCAGTCCCTTCGAGAGAGCACCTACTCTCTCAGGGACAGGGCACCACCTGGCACCCTCGCCGATCTTTGAAGAGATTTTAGACGCGAGGAAGACTTAGGTAACCTCCGATTGCGGTGGCTAATACCGTCACTCGGGCTAGAGCCCCCTCCCCGAGCGCGCCTATGCCCTGACGTGGAGTCTATTCACTGAATGGTGTGTCTCTCGCTGAGAAGACCCCCGTAATTTGCCAGATCAGCGTTGTGCTTTCTTTACGCCGAGAGAAGCTGGAGAGCAGGCTGTCGCCCTCCACACTCAAGGTTACGTGGCTGCCATCTCCGCTCTCATAACGCGGTGGCTGGCAGCACCGTGGGAACGCATAACCTCATCATCCGGTTCCTCAGGGGCGTTAAGCGAATTAATCCACCCCGCCCCCCCTCATGCCCTCTTAGGATCTCGCCCTCGCTACACAAGCCGCGTCAGATCCCTTCGATCCTCGACTCAGTATCTTTCTGTCCCTGAAGACAGCTCTGCTGGTCGCGTTGATATCGATTAGAGGGTCGGGGACCCGGAGGCATTTTTCGGTCAGTGACTCGTGCCTGTAATTGGGCTGGCTTCTCTCACGTCCTGAGACCCCGCCCGCGATATGTGCCCAAGGTTCCTACCACTCCGTTTTAATACGAGGTAGTGAGCCTGCAAGCGCTGCCCTCGGAGGAGGCAGACCCAGCCCTTCTTTATTGTCCAGTTCGCGTTTTGCGTATTATCCGGACCGCACTCAGAGTTTAGATAATCTGAGCAGCTCTTCGTCTGTTATAGCGGTCGGCAGCAGGGAAGTGCCGTACCGAAATAAGTTCCCACTAGATTGTGGATGCCTTTCTTTCACTATCAGAGCCGAGATGAGCCGCGTCCCCCGAGAGCGCGTGCGCACTCCACTCGGAGTTTCGTATCCTCTCGAGCGCGCGCACGCGGCGCCCCTCTAACAGACTTCTGTAGAGCTGCGGGCTGGGTGACACCCAACACATTTGCAAGGTTTTACAATCTGCGAGTGGAGCCGGTTTCCTCAAGGGTATTAGGTAACCCTTGGTGATTGAGGAAACAATTCGGTAGGGTGTTGAAACACGCTTGCTGCGCCATTTTCCCTAACACGGAGATACGTGCGCCTTTTTATCTGTCAGTAAAGTTCCCCGTCAGGTGAGCCCTGCAGATTCCTCCGTGGCCCCCAGCACTGACTCAGCGGAGGAGTCACTTGCTGGCCCACTACGTTGTAGGTCTGCCCGCTGGTCAGCCCGCGTTTTGGGTAAAGGTGCCTGCTATGCGTGATCCCCACTAGGCGATCCCATATGCTTATTCCGCCACGGTTAAGTCCCCCCCCTGGGCGGACCCGTGTCTTCCCTCCCCGCTAACCACTCTTTTGCTATGCGTACTCCCCCTTTTTTAGGGCTAGTCCATATGTAAATTCTGCCATCTATCCCCCCTCGGGTAACGGATGGCCTCCGCAGCGTCCTCCCTATCGGGATTGCACGCTTCCCAACGTACTGTCGTATTTCCTAGAATTATCTAGATGCTCACGACTTCCCAAAAAATATATCTAAATCCGTAAAACTTCTGTTGAAGTAGGATAAATTAGGGCCAGGGACACGTTGGAGGACCGCGCCCCCCATGATGCGGGTGCGTCACGCTTGCTTGACTATCTCCTCATCGGGGGTGTTGGTAAGGTGCAGTCATTATGGCGCTTTCAATGGGCTCCCAATGCGTGGATTTTACAAATCAAATCCACTTATAGTGCTGAAGTTCCCCCCGAAGGGGAACGTTCGAGGTTACTAAAGTAACCCTTCGTTCCCCGAGGAGGGGAACGGAAGCACTATACTCCGTCGCCATAATGACTGTCCCTTAGCTGTTGAAAGTCTCTTCAGCTTAAAAAGGATAGCGTCTGCTGGCGCCAGGTGAGCTTATATACTCAGTTGATTGCTTATGCCGCTCACCTGCGCAGGCTTGCGCTGCCAATTCATTCTTAATTGGCCCGTTCAATACTCTTTCAGACGAGTAGCTTCTGAACCGAACCTCCCAATGCGTGGATTTTACAAATCAAATCCACTTATAGTGCTTCCGTTCCCCTCCTCGGGGAACGAAGGGTTACTTTAGTAACCTCGAACGTTCACACCTATCAGTTTGTAGGACTTGAGACACAGGTCACCCCCAACATACACAGATCAAATTTCATTCAATGTAAATACAACTAAACTAAAATGCAGATCATTTTACAAGACATACCCCAGAAGATATGCAGCAAAAGATGTTTTTAAAAAACTGTCAGTTCCAGAGCACTCAACCAATCAGGAGAACTTGGAAGAGGGAATAGTGTTGCATGCTTCTGTTTATGGGGTAGCAAATTTGCATAACAATGGCAACATGGGGGAACCACTCCTAAGAACTGTGTCTTCGTTTTTCATATGCAAAGACGTGTTCTTTGTGAATGGCTCCTCGGTTGTTGCACTGCTGTAGTCTTTTCTATCTTTTCTGTCCAGTGATTGGACATCTAGACTGACTGTATTCGTTGTGAGAGTGTGTGAATTGAACTGTGAGGCTCGTACCATGACGGTTTGGAACAAATACATGTGCCATTATATATTTGTTTGTTTCTTTACCTGAGCCTAATTACAACTGTTATTAACCTTTGAGGCTTGGAATAACTCTATCCTATGTTACAGGGGACAGAAGTATTCAAAGGTAGTAGACCATTGTTATTTGCTGTAATTCCGCTCTAATCCCTCTTTTATCTTTGATTTGGCCTTCATGTAGACTCCTATGAACCAGGCTTCAACACGGTCTCATTGCATATTTACCATTCACCTGTGCAGCAAAGAGCTGGGCTCAGCCAGAGTACGATGCTCGAAGCTGCACCTAGTGGACCTTGCTGGGTCTGAAAGAGTGGGAAAGACAGGTGTGGGAGGTCAGATCCTAACAGAAGCAAAATATATCAACCTCTCACTTCATTACTTGGAGCAGGTCAGTGGATTTAATATTTTGTAACGAAGTGCACTATGAATATGTCTTTCTAATTTCATCTCTAGCTGTAACCTAGAATTAGAAATTGTTTGCAGAATTATTTTAGATTTATCTTTTGTAGTTTGTGATGGGGTATACCCATCGTTGTCATCGTAGCATGTTAGAGCAGATCTGCATGCAGTACTGTACAAACGTTTTAGACCACCATATCGTTAATGATTGTACAACCTCAAATCAGAAGAAGTTGGGACAGTATGGAAACGCAAATAAAAAAATAGTGACTTCCAAATTTACTTTGGCTTATATTTCATGTTTTGTCTGCTCAACTTTCCTGCCATTCAGACCCGCAACACATTCCAATAAAGTTGGAACAGGAGCAGTTTAGGGCTAGTAATCCGGTAAATTGGTTAAATAATGATGTTATTTGAAACAGGTGATGTCAACAGGTGATTGTAATTATGATTTGGTACTAAAGCATCATTCACGAAAAGTCTAGTCCTTTAGGAGCAAAGATGGGCCGAGGATCACCAGTTTGCCAACAAATATGTGAGACAATTATTGAAATGTTTAAAAACAATTTTCCTCATTTGGATATTTCACCTTCAACAGTGTATAACATCATTAAAAGATTCATAGAATCTAGAGGACTTTTAGGGCCCTATCATACACCCGGCGCAGTGTGGCGCAAGGCGTGGCGCAGTAGTCTTTTGGTAGTTTCAGCTTGGCGCAAGAGTGGTTTTGAGGCGTTGCGCTACGCTGTTTAAATAGCAAATGCATTAGCGCTCATTTGTGCGCCCATAGGCGTTCTAGTCTAAAAAGGAAGGTGTTCTGAGGCGGACCGCTGGCGCGTTGCTATTTTGAGAAACTAAAATAGATTTTCATTAGACCAAAACAAACCCGGTCTAAACTCCGGCGCAGAGTTGCGCCTCGCTTACACACTGCTTAATACGTACAAGAGCAATAGGCAAATATCTTTACATATGAAAAAATTTAAATATTAAGGATATATATAGGATATAATAAGAGTAGATATAGGATATAAATTTAAAGGATTAAAATATTACAAAACATTATTTTCTAGCCTACATAAATATGAAAAATCACTGCTTTTATGTCTTCTTCATCTCGGGAGGCTTTTTCAGTTCATTCATAACAATTTGCTTTTGTATAATGTTATTATTATTAGCAGTATTATTTATTATATCCATATTTATATTTGTTTTATTAAAAACAAGCTTAGATTTGCCCACCTGTCAGGTTTTAGACCATATGGGGCACAGCATGTGTTTTAGGATATAACTCAGGTTTTTGAGCACATTTTGCTATTATTATTCATTTATTCATTTGCTGGAAATTAGAACTGAATTTAGAAATAGTTTTGAAACGAATATTTGCGCTTAACAAACAAAAGTATTTATTTATAGACTAATTGATGTCTGTGCGTAAAAGTTTCCCTATCCAAGAGCGAAAGTGATCCATTATCTCTCATTCTCATGCAGTAGATGCTCTGTTTAACAGTTTTTTGTTAAAAAACTGTTAACTGTTAACTGTTTGCTTGTGAAATGCTCATTTTTTCCACTTAGACTTACTTTGCGTCCTGTAAATAGCAAATGCGCTCTTGGCGCGACACAGCTGACTTAAAGGGAATGGGAGATGAGACTGTAATTGGTTTATTCTTAAAACACACCTATAACTCATTAAGAAAATAAACTCAACCCTTTTAGACCATGCGCCTAAGCGCAAGGCAGATTTCCTGTCCTTAAATTAGCAAAAACGCGTCCTGACACGCCCTGAAAGCATTTGCGCCCTGCGTTTTGCGCTTTGCGCATGGACCGTCAAAAAAGAGCCCTTAATGTGTAAAGGACAAAGGCACAAGCTTAGGCTGAACAACTGTGATCTTCAATCTCTCAGGCAGCACTGCATAGTAGTTTTACATAGTTACATCCAGAAATGCCAGTTAAAACTGTACTTGCCAAATGGAAGCCTTATGTTAACATTGTCCTGAAGCACAGTCGACTTCTCTAGGCTCAGAGGCATTTTGGATTGACCATAACGTAGTGGAAATGTGTACCGTGGTCAGATGAAGCAGTATTTTTTTGGGGAGAAATGTACGCAGTGGGCTCTGGACCAAAGAAGAAAAGAATCATTCAGACTGTTTTCAGCACAAGTCCAAAAGCCAGTGTCTGTCATGGTATGGGGTTGTGTCACACATTATTTCTGGCTGCAGAGGAAGAGGATACAGCTTGACTGGCCTATCTGCAGTCCTGACCTGTCTTCAATAGAGAATTTGTGGCGAAGAACCTTTACTGTTACTCACCTTAAGACTTGTTTGCAGAAGGAATGGGACGAAACACTTCATCACTTGGTGCTTTCAGTCTCTAAACGTCTTTTAAGTGTTGTGAAAAGGAATTGCAACATTACAAATGCTTTACTGTTTAGTTTTTTTAAAATGTGTTGAGAGAACCAAAATTGGAATAAGTGTTTATTTTGAAAAAACATAATGAGAAACACATTAAATAATGTTTGTTGTATAGTCTGGAATAACATACAAGTCAAAGTCAATTTAGAATTCTCTACTTTTTTTTTATTAGCATTTTCCGAACTGTCCCAACTTTTTCTTCTTTTCTTTTTCTTATTTTGGGTTGTAAAATGACCAGAAATAATTATTACTCATTCCCTTTATTAGAATGCAACCAAAAAATACAGGGCTGGGTATTTTTATTTTTATTTTTTTGTTAAAGTTGAAGAGAGGTGGATGATTACAGCCTTCAGAGAAATATGATGCAGGCTCTGTCAGGGTCTGAGCTTGCAGTGGTTATGGCAGTTTTGTCTGAACTGATGGGATTGTGAATGCTGAAAAGTACAGACATGTTTAACTTCATTGTGTTGTTCCTTCTAGAGAGCACCTCATTGGAAATTATTTTATTTTTCACCAAGAATCAGGTTGTGCTTGGTGCTACGAGAGCTCATATTAAACAGATGTTTGCTTGAAATTTTTTTTTTTTTTTCTGTTTTTGTTAATATATATATTCACACACACACACACACACACACACACACACACACACACACACACACACACACACACACACACACACACACACACACACAAACACACACACACACACACACACACACACACACACACACACACACACACACGCACAAACACACTGCAAAAGCCACCAAACATGATTTTAGATAGAACTATTTCTGAAAATTACTTGTTATGAGCAATTAGGGCAGCATATCTTCCACCGTAGTAGCCTTTTCTTTTTCTTACTTGTGTTTCTAAACACAAGGATAAACATTGTAAACATTACATTTCCTTTCAATCCGACCCAAGCCCTTAAAATATAAATCATGAGTCTAAGCTTGGCTTAACAGAGAGTTTCTCATGTCTGTAAACTCCTGGAGGTTCATAACCTGGGGATTCAAGAATTAATTGAAGCTAATTGTGGAATCAGTATATTAAAGGGCAATTGGCTGTATAATGCTGAATGTCACAACATTTTAAGTGAATAAATCAAAAATTAAATTGAAATCACTGAATTTTAGAATGTTAAAATGTTGAAATAAATAAATACATTCGCAAAGGGCACAAATGATTGTTTAACTTTTGATAGCTTGATAAGGAAGGGTGGATGAAATGTATTACAAATGCTTTTTGAATACTGCTGTTTAAAATGTGGTTCAAATGGCATCAAAAATGACAATAAATGATATGCATAATTATGAATGTGTGCTTGTTAAATATTCATCAGCACAAGTCAAACATTAAAAGAATTGAACATTCAATATGATGTTTGCAAGCAAGCTATTTAAAGTTATGTTTTAAAATTGACTGATGTTTTTAAAATAAGTTTCTGTAGTCTTAGGCCCAATCCCAATTCTATTTTTGTACCCTACCTCTTCCACTTCCCCATGGCCCTTGAAACAGAGTGTGATGGGGAAGGGTTTCAATATTTACCCCTAAGAAATGGGACAGCACTACAGCACCTGCACACATCACCATATGTCATCGCGATCTCTTTCTTCATATGAGATCGACACTCACTACTGCTGTAGTGATTCCAGTTGTGTTATTATGTGGTATTTATCTTCAGGAAATCACTGAAGGCATTGCTATCATGTTATGATGACGATATAATGTGGCAATAAGATCGTAACTGTACTGTGCATTTACACCATGGCCATATTCTTCAATTTAAACACACGAAAACAACATTAACATTATAGCAGACACTGTAAAAAGGTCTATCCCAGCCACTAGACTTTTCTGACAGGGTATTTAAGTGTCATCGAGTGACAGAATGCTGCGGGACTGCTGTACAAGAGTTATTATTATAGATTATAGATAGCAAAATTTTGCGGGTGTCAGGGTTTTTGGTTAATTTTTCATGTAATGTTTTTTAATCGCCACTAGATGCCATTTCAACTTTTATTTTTTTGGTTACCTGTAATCACCAAGATCAGTTTCTCATGTTCCTTGTTTAGTTGTTTGTATAAAAGTAACCCTTTTTTCCTCTGTTCTTTGCTCGGTTATTGTTGACCCATGCCTGTCACCTACAGTGAGTTTTTCTTTCTTGTTATTTAAGCTAGTCTCTTGTATCTAATATTCCTTGGAGCTTTTTTGGATTTTTTCTGTTCAGAAGTTTTTGCCTGTCTAAGTTGATGTACCTTTTGAAACCTGAAGTTCCTGTTTTTGTTTACTTGAATTTTTTGAAACCTGAAGTTTCCTGTTTTTGTTAACTGTTTTTCATCTTCCATTTTAAAGAAATGGATTTTTCCATTTTAAAGGGTTATTCAACTACCAGTGGCTCAGTGGTCAGGAGTCCACACTCACATGCCAGGGACCTGGGTTCGATCCCCGAGCCTGACAGCGGGTTATAGCCTTTTTTTTAAGCATGACGGTAAAACATGAATACATTAAAACATGTGCTTGTTTATTGTAAAAATTCGTAATAATGACAAAAAATACAAATATGTAGATCTCCTTACTTCCATTTGCAGCTATGCTGCCGTTGTGGCTGGTGTATTCTGGGAATCTTTCTTACCCCTTGGTTTCGAGTGTGGTGCTGAAAAATCTTTGTTTGAAGGGCTATCTAGCCCTTCCTCTTGGCCCTAAGACTTCAAGCTAAAGAGAATTGAGGCACCCTACCTCTTCGTGTGATCGCACAAAACGAGATGTAGGGGTAAGGGTAAGGGGTAGAATAGGGATTGGGCCTTATTCTCAGTATGATCACTGTTTTATTACTAGTAAGTGTAAAAATGACCTATACTGTTGTACAGATTGGAGGACTTTACTTTGACTGTGACTATAGATATATATATATATATCTATATATATGTATATATATATATATATATATATATATATATATATATATATATATATATATATATATATATATATATATATATATATGTGGAAACGTAGCCCCGCGGACGTTTCTGTGGACCGCGATTTACGTCCCGGGAGGTACGTATTCGAGCGTTTTTTTGTTTTCCCGGATCTGCGAGAGGCCGCTGTGCGCGCTTTTTCGCGTCTCGGGCGGGCGCCTCTCGGGAGCGCGCGGCGTTTGCGCCCGCGCCGTTGTCGCGCGAAAAGCCCCCGGATCGAAAAAAACAAAAAAACAAAACAAAAGCCCTCGTCTTCGATTTCGACCGCGTTTTCGAATCCCGCCGCGCTCTCGCCCTCATTTTTCGGATTACCTGATTTCCGGAACCCGCTGTTCCCTGGACTCGATCCAGGTCGTCGTCCACCGCGGCCGGCTCCGGCTCCTCCTCCGGGGCCTCCGCTCCGCCGACGCAATGCTGTGAGCTAAGCGGACAAACTGATCGGGTCGGGAAAGCCCTCCACTCGGAGGAGAGCCGTCGGCGGAGGAGGGGCGGAGCGGCGACAAACGCGGCCTTTACGTACCTCCGGCCACGTAAATCGCGGTCTCTAGAAACGTCCGCGGGGCTACGTTTCCAGAATGAGCTTGGGTTGATAATTTGACATGAACTACTTTCAGCAGAACTGTGAAAACATCATTTTGTAAACTGTTTGTTTCCTGGTTTAGGTCATCATAGCCCTGTCAGAGAAGGATAGGTCTCACATCCCCTACCGCAATTCCATGATGACCTCTGTACTCAGAGACAGTTTGGGCGGTAACTGCATGACCACCATGATTGCTACTGTATCCGTGGAGAAGAAGAACATCGGTGTACATATCTTTGCATCAATTTTGACATCTTTTCTTTTATATGAAAAGCTACACATTTGTTTTGAATTCTCCCTATGACTTATGCAAATAATTTCCTCCTGCTTTTTCTCTCTCTTTTTGTCTTACAGGAGTCTTTATCCACATGTCGTTTTGCTCAGAGAGTGGCTTTGATTAAGAATGAAGCTTTACTCAATGAAGAACTTGATCCTGCTCTGGTGAGTCTGGTTAAATTAATTTTGTATTGTTGAGTATTACATATGGGCGACGCAGTGGCGCAGTGGGTAGCACGTTCGCCTCACAGCAAGAATCCTCGATCCTCGAAAGAGTTCGATCCTAAAAACTTGCTGGATAAGTTGGTGGTTCATTCTGCTGTGGCGACCCCGAATTAATAAAGGGACTAAGCCGACAAGAAAATCAATGAATGAATGAGTATAACATTAATTGGGTTACATGTGTAATGAGGGAGTGACAAAAATTAATGAAATCTAAATAACAATGAAACTAAATTGAAAATAACTAATTTATTTTTACTTGGTATGTTTGTAGACCATTTTAAGGGATGTAAACAAAAACAGTGGTCCCAACGTATTTCCTGTTTTACATTTTTAATTTCTGTAGCTTCTGAGAATCCAAAAACTAAGCTTTAGAGGTACTGCAAAGAGGAATGGGCAAAAATTCCCAAAAAGAGGTGTGCCAAGCTTATGGCATCATATTCATAAAGACTTGAGACTGTATTTGCTGCCAAAGGCGCATCAACAAAGTATTGAGCAAAGGCTGTGAATACTGATGTATATCTGATTTTTCACATTGTCATTATGCAGTATTGTGTGTAGAATGTTGAGGAAATAAATGAATTGAATCTATTTTGGAATAAGGCTGTAACATAAGAAAATGTGGAAAAAGTGAAGCAATGAATACTTTCCAGATGCAATACATATATATATGCATATACTGTATGTATGTGTGAAACAGTGTGATATACGAGATGCAAAACCCGATAGCATCACCATGTGGCCAAATGCCACACATTTATTTTTTTTAACGTGAACACATTTTGAACTCATGCTTATATATTCTGAGTTTGTAACGAAATGTTATTCTGTTCACAAACTATAGCCATTTTAGCAGAAGTTGCCCTCCCACTCCAGACATTTCGGAATGCAACTGACAATGGAACATAAACGCTTAATAAATTTTGCTATTTTAAACTCCTTATTCTATTGTATTTGAAATATTGGTAACACTTTAGAATAACTATCTGTTATAACTAGTTAATACTCCATTAATAAACTGTTAGTTAAGGAGTTATAAATGACTTGTTAAATAAAATAAAAAATAAAATGGTGTGTAATAACACCAGTGAAACTTTGTAGAAAAAAATGTGCCCAAACCTCATAGGCTTGCATTCTGTTGTATCCTGCTGTTCTGCCATGTTATGAGTCACAATGTTTAACATTTCATCTGTGGAGTTTCTTTGGTAAAATACAGCACACAAAAGCTTATGAGTGGAACAAGGTTAAGGTACAAAAATGTTATATTTTAAATATCACATCAAATTTCTGTAGCTTGAATTTGTTCCATCCATTTGCTGTCCTACAAAGTTTGACCGGTATTTGTAGGTTAACAAACTATACACAACTGATCTGTAAAGTGTGAGTTAATATATTAGCTAAGTGTTAGTTATTAGCTTATGTGTGTTATTGGGACGTTATTCTAAAGTTGCAACTATTCCTCATTTACAAAGTTAATAAATGAAGAATAGCGGCAACTTTAGAATAACATCCCAATAACGTATACAAAGTATTAACTGATACTTAACAAGTCTTTAGTAAGTAATTTACTAACTGCTTGTTCATGATCTATTACTAATTCATTAGTTATATTAATAAATCATTAAAATACAGTTAACAAGTCATTTATAACTTGTTAACTAACAGATTATAAGTTATCTGTTGGCTATCTATAAGGAACAGTTATAAATAATTAACAAACTATTAACTTTCATTTAAAAAGTCATTTATAACCCATTAACTAACAGTTTATTAATGGATTATTAACTAGTTGTAACAGATAGTTATTCTAAAGTGTTACCGAAATATTTCTATATTTGTTCAGTTAAGTTTGTCCAAAACATTTAGGACTAGTTTGCAAATAGTTTTTGTGAAAAAAACTACATTTTTTTTCTTGAATACTTGAACCCCTAAAATGGCGGCTGTTGATTTGAATGTCTCAGAAGATTTGAATATTTTTCTAGGAATAAGACATGTTATTTTCTTCTTTTAAACGAGGGAATGCTTAATAGGTCTGTCATTATTTACTAACCGTAAAGTCATTCCAAACTTGTATGACATTCTTTCTTTTCCAAGGAAAAGCACACAGTGACCAAGGAACAAAATGAGCTTAAAACTGCCTTATTGGGGGACATGTTTAGAAATATACAATTAAAGTCAGAATTATTAGCCCCCCTTTGTTTTTTTTTCTCTTTTTTTAAATATTTCCCAAATGATGTTTAACAGAGCAAGAACATTTTCACAGCGTGTCTGATAATATTTTTTCTTCTAAAAAAAGTCTTATTTGTTTTATTTTGGCTAGAATAAAAGCAGTTTTACATTTTTTAAAAACAATTTTAAGGACAAAATTATTTATAATAAACCCATTTAGGCACATTTTTTGTTCGATAGTCTACAGAACAATTCATCGTTATACAATAACTTGCCTAATTACCCTAACCTGCCTAGTTAACCTAATTAACCTAGTTAAGCATTTAAATGTCGCTTTAAGCTGTATAGAAGTGTCTTGATATCTATATAAATAGATAAATATCTATTTACTGTCATCATGGCAAAGATAAAATAAATCAGTTATTAGAGATGAGTTATTAAAACTATTATGTTTAGAAATGTGTTGAAAAAATCTTCCCTCTGTTAAACAGAAAACAGGGGAAAAATAAACAGGGGGCTAATAATTCAGGGGGGCTAATAGTTCTGACTTCAACTGTATATAGCCAACATGTATTCTACATTATTTTTTAAATAAATAAATCCTCTTGCCTGCTTATGATATCTTTGTTGTTTGTTGTTTTTTTTCTGGCAGCTGATTGTCCATTTAAAAAAGGAGAATCAGTCTTTGAAGGAGCAGCTGGCTCTGATGACTGGAGAGCAAAGAAGTGACAAGTTAACCCAAGAAGAGATCCAGCAGTATGAACCTGTATTTCTTAACTTTGCCTGATTATTTTTTTGCTTATTTTGTTTTTACTTGGTGGCGGCATGGTGTGTCAGAGGTTATAACTGTTGCCTCACAGCAAGAAGGTTGCTAGTTCGAGTCCCGGCTGGGCCAGTTAGCATTTCTGTGTGTAGTTTGCATGTTCTCACCGTGTTTGCGTGAGTTTACCATACTCCCACATGTCAGTAATGGAACCTAAGCTGTCTAATTCTGCAGTTTATTTTGCTCTATGTGTTAATGTTTGTTTTGTAGAAGGACACAGGAGTATTATTCCTGTTTTTTAGGTTGGAAGGATTGGTGAATGTATATTTGGAGGACCCTGACTGTGAAGTAACATTAGACCTGGGGCCTGATATGAGGAAAATCCAGTTTTGTTTCTCTTTGCTAAAGGTGAGTGAATTAATTCATCGATTTATTGATTCCATTCAATTCCATCGATCTTTATTTCTATTGCATGTTTTACATTGTAGATTGTGTCAAAGCAGCTTAACATAGAGGAAGTTCTAGTAAATTAAAACTTCGTCAGTTCTGTTATTGCAGTTTAGTGTAATGTAAGCGTCACTGTTAAATGCCAACTATTGAAGAGCAACTCCAACAATGCACAGCTCCACTAGTCCCAAACCATTGGGACATTGATAGGATCTGTTGCTGTCAAGATTAGGCTGTTTTCTTAATAATTTCTTTTAAAAATATTGAATATATTTATTCAAAACACTCACACACACACACACACACACACATATATATATATATATATATATATATATATATATATATATATATATATATATATATATATATATATATATATATATATACATACATATATATATATATATATATATATATATATATATATATATATATATTTATTTTTATTATATTTATTTGTTTTTCAAATCTTTCTTGAATTGTGGGTTGACCAGTATAGCTTTTGATGTGGAGGATCCTTTTCTGTTGGAGTTGTGCCCTAAAAAACTAAATAAAATAGTCACAAACATGTTAAAAACTTAGATATACATCATAGGAATAGTATAACAGAAAATGTTAGTGGTTTTAAATCCTTCACTTTTCCAAACGGCACCAAACCTTGAAACCTGTTATTGTTGAAACCATGAAGTGATGTTGAAGCCTAAAAGTGATGTTCACATTGTTAAGACACTAATGCAATCAAACGGCACACAATATGGACTGTTTAATTTTGTGTTGAGGATCTTGAGATGTGGTTCATTGTGATGAATAAGCTTGTGTCCAAAAAAGAAGAGATGTAGTTTAGTGACCAATAGGGGGGGTTAGAGAAAAGGAAGGAAAGTATGGAAAAAGGACATTAAAGAAGGGCACTATATGTTGAGCTTTTATTATCTAATTAGATACACATTACATGTGTGAATATCTGTGCTGCTGTGTGTTTGTGGACTAAATCAAAGTTCACTGGTTAAAAGTTGCCTTCCTTTTCAGGCAAGAGTGCGTGAGAAACCCTGTGCTGGCAGTAGTATTCCATTAACAGGCATGCTGGATGGAAAAGACAGACGATCTCATGAAGATGTCCAAAAGCTGGAGGAGATGTTGGCACACCGTGATAATGAGATCAGTATCTTTTTCTCAGTTCAGTTATACAGGCCGGAGAATATTTAATTTTGTCATATTATATTTATTTGAATACATTTTCAGCCTCATTACCATGTGCTTAGGCTTAATTATATGAGGTGCTTGGGGGTTTAGAATTTTTTCTTGGCTATATTAGCCCCTTCATCTATTGACCTATTTTACAACCCGATCAATGGCAAATAAATTTACATTGCCTTGTATTTCATTGCAGACAGCACATTATTTAATTCATTCATTTTCTTTTCGGCTTAGTCTCTTTATTCATCTGGGGTCCCCCCAGCGGAATGAACCACCAGCTTATCCAGCATATGTTTTACGCAGCAGATGCCCTTCCAGCTGCTACCCATCTCTGGGAAACATCCATACACACTCATACACTACAGACAATTTAGCCTATTCAATTCACCTGTACCGCATGTCTTTGGACTGTGGGGGAAACCGGAGCACCCGGAGGAAACCCAAGCCTACTGATCCAGCCGAGACTCAAACCAGTGACCTTCTTCCTGTGAGGCGACAGCACTTCCTACTGCACCACTGCATCACCACATTAATTTATAATAATAATAATAATGACTGGTGTGCTTTGGGTCATTGTCCTGCTGAAAGGTAAACCATCACCCCAGTCTGAGGTCAAGAGCAGGTTCTCTGAAGCAGGTTTTCATTCAGGATGCCTCTGTACATTGCTGCATTCATCTTTCCCTCTATCCTGACTAGTCTTCCAGTTTCTGCTGATGAAAAACATCCCCACAGCATGATGCTGCCACCACCATGCTTCACTGCAGGGATGGTATTATCCTGCTGAAGAGCGGTGCCTGGCTTTCTCCAAATGTAACGCCTGGCATTCACTTCAAAGAGTTCAATTTTAGTCTCATCAGACCAGAGTTTTCAAATGCTTTCTTGCAAATTTTAGGTGGGCTGCTATGTGCCTACTAAGGAGTGGTTTCCGTCTGACCATTCTACCATACAGGCCTGATTGGTGGATTGTTGCACAGATGGTTGTCTTCTGTAAGGTTCTCCTCTCCCCACAGAAGAACACTGGAGCTTAGACAGAGTGACCATCAGGTTACTGATCACCTTTTTGACTAAGGCCCTTCTTCCGTGATCACTCAGCTTAGATGCAGCTCTAGGAAGAGTCCTGGTGGTTCCAAACATCTTCCACTTACGGATGATGGAGGCCGCTGTGCTCATTGGAACTTTCAGAGCAGCAGAGATGTTTCTGTAACCTTCCCCAGCCTTGTGCCTTGAGACAATCCTGTCTCGGAGGTCTACAGACAGTTCCTTTGTCTTCATGCTTGGTTTGTGCTTTGACATGCACTGTCAACCCTGAAACCTTATATAGACAGGTGAATGCCTTTTCAAATCATGTCCAATCAACTGGATTTACCACAGGTGAACTCCAATTAAGCTACTGAAACATCTCAAGATTGATCAGTGGAAACAGAATGTACCTGAGCTCAATTTAGAGCTTCACGCCAAAGGCTGTGAATACTTAAGTACTTGTGATTTTTCAGGTTTTTTATTTTTAATAAATTTGCAACAATTTCAAAAACTTTTTTCACATTGTCATTATGGGGTATTGTGTGTAGAATTTTGAGGAAATAAATGAATTTGATTTATTTTGGAATAAGGCCCTAACATAAAAAATGTGAAGATGTGAAATGTGAAATCAAGAATGAAGTGCTATGAATACTTTCCGGATGCACTGTAAAACTAGTAAAAGGAGTATGCATTAAACTTGGTGAATTCTGGTAAATGAGGGCATCCAGAAGTCAAGGACTCCAAATATCTTTCCTCAGTTGCAACAGCACCATAAATAGTAGAGTATGCTGCTGCTGGTTGCTGTGATATTTACAGACTTTTAAAAGAAGATCAGAATCCTAGTTTTGCATTTGATTATCTTTGTATCAAAATCTTTATCCTTAACTTAAGCTTTTCAGGTATATTGGTGAATATGCTCAAAAGAGAAAAGAAGAAACTTCAAGATGTCACTTCTCAGATGACAAAGCCACAGAATAAAAATGAATCACCGACAACGCTAGAGGCAGCAGAGAGTGCAAAATATGACAGCTCTAATGGTGACATACATGCTCAGCATTTGATGACTGGAAAAAGAGGTGAGTACAAGATCTCAGATGTGTGTATGACATTCACTTAAAGGTGTCGTAAGTTTTTGACTCTTCTAAAGCATAACAAAACCATAATATGTTTGCAGATATTTAAGAAACATGCTAAGTGAACATTCTTGTTTATCTAAAAAACTATGTTGAAGTCAGTTATTCTGCTTTGAAATTGTATTTTCCATGCTAGGTTGCTGTCTTCGTTTTGGTTCTCTTGAACCAGCCAATGGCAGTTTATTCATTCATTAATTTTCTTGTTGGCTTAGTCCCTTTATTAATCCGGGGTCGCCACAGCGGAATGAACCGCCAACTTATCCAGCAAGTTTTTACACAGCGGATGCCCTTCCAGCTGCAACCCATCTCTGGGAAACCAATGCCAGTTTAGCCAATTATAATTCAGCACCACGGGTTGCCTTAGTGGAAACCATATTTCATTCATTCATTGAGAACGGCCCTCAAAATCTGTGATTAAAACGCGACCTCCGGTGGAAAGTACAAAAACAACATTTCCACTGACCTAATAAGTTGTGTATTAAACAAATGTTGATTTTGATGGCTTCAACACTTCAAAACATTTCCTACAGAGGCATGTTTAAGATGGTGTCAAATCAGTTTCCCTTTTAATAACAATGGATATTAAAGGCAGAGTTTTCATCCTTGTGGCCATCGTGATATCATTTTATATCAGATATTTTACACAATGTTGTAATCTCTTTTGTAACAGACAGGGTTAGACAGAGTAGCCAATAGCGTTCACTTTATTTCACAACTGTGCTAGTCAGAGCTGTTGAGCTAAAACTCATAATAGCCTCAGGCCATGTCCACACTAATGCGTTTTCATTTGAAAACGCATATTTTTGTCTCTGTTTTGCCCTTCCGTCCACACTGAGACGCGTTTTTAAAAAACGAACACGTGTCTTTTTGAAAACGCTCTCCAAAGTGGATAAATTTGAAAACGCCGTTTTTGCGTCGTAGTGTGGACTAAGAAAACGGAGGCTTTCAAAAATGATGACGCATTTTTAGTCATGTGACACAGTCATGTTACTAATACAGCAAAAATGATGGACCACATTGTGCAGCATTTGTTTTGGATGCTCTCAGTTTTGACAGCTTTGTTAAAAATTAATGTAAGTTTGTACATGCTCCAGCTTGGTTTTCATCAAAGGACACAGAATGCTTCCGTTGTTTATGTCGTTTGTTTCGATACCGCAACTAATGGTAGTGACGGCCGGAGAACCACCCCAGATCTGTTCACACAGTTCAAAGTACAACAGTACTACTCTTCCATGCCCGCTTTTCTTTCCGGAATCCACCGCGTGTCTGTACTTAAGCCGTATAGCCTTTAATTTAGTTGTTATTATTAGTTTAGTGATGTCGTCCTTACTGTGAGGGTAAGCAGCGCCATCAGTACGATATTGTTCTTTGAAGCGGTCCAATATTTCAGCGTATTTGTTTTGGCACGTCTCCCAGTCTATATTTTCACTCTCTTTCGCAGCTTTGAATTCGTGCGTTACTTGAAGCAGCAACTCCACCTCACTGTCAGTCCATTTAAAAAACTTCCTCGACATTTTGCCGCGACGTTTTAAAGAACCGGAAAGAAAATAAACGTCAAGCGGAAATGACGCGTTTCGAATCGTCTTACGTTTCACGCATGCGCCGTACAGGGCGAAATTGTTTTTAGCTGTTTCAGTGAGGATGACAAAGTTTTGGAAAACGAATGAAAACGACAGTGTGGACGTGAAGCGTTTTTAAACGAAAACTCTGTTTTCAAATTTATCCGGATTAGTGTAGACATGGCCTCAGTCTATAATTGATCACACACACGCAGAGCCCTTGTTGTCAACCCCTATCATTACAATAATATTAATACTGAGTCTAACTCTCCATTCCATCACATCTAAAATACAGATTTTTGCATAATTCAAGTGGATTTGATATGTTTTGTGGTCTTTATCAAGTTGCAAATATGATCCACTGTTTTAGTCTGTGCTGCATCTCTCTGGGCTGCTGTGATTTTAGTTGCAGTGTTGGGTAGAATTTGTTATAAAGTAACTAGTTATAGTACTATTCACTAGCACTAGTGTTAGTATAGTACTATTCAAATAAAAACAGACACTGTGTCATGGGCTGCGTCTGAAACCGCCTACTACTCAGTAGGTACTGCATTTGAATTTAAACGTACTACTCGGCCGTTAGAAAAGTACGTTCTGTACAGTATGAATGTAAAAAGTATGAATGGAATTCGGACATACTACATTCGCCATTTTGACATAGTCACGTGATGTACCTGTGTAATTTGCGTCGCTTTACTCCCATTCATGAATTCTCTCGTGGGGCATCATGGGATAGCGCAGCATGCATGGGATGCGCACTCCAGAATCTTGCCGGAAGTAGTAAGTCATCTGGATACTTCTCGCATACTGTTTTTCGAATTCTATGAATTCGGACATACTACTCAGCTCACATACTGATTTTAGCATACTGTATAGCAGTGGTTCTCAAACTGTGGTACGTGTACCACTAGTGGTACGCAGGCTTCCTTCTAGTGGTACGCGGAGGAATCAATTATGTCATACATGTATGTACATGTTATACATGTATTTCAAAATTTTTCAAAAATGATTTATATATGAATATGATGACATATAGTGTATATTTCTAAGGTCCAGGCAATATTTCCAGGTGTTTAAGTACAGCAGTTTTTTTTTTTTTTTTACATTTTTAAGAACAGTAACCTACCATTTTTAACCTTTAAAAGCACAATTTAATTTAAATGTTGACGTGTTTAGTTTATTTATTTATTTATTTGTTTTTTTACAAATAAGCACAGTGCAGTGTTAATGTTCAGACTCTTTATAATATTTAAAGTGGCTGACAACAATAAATATTTTTAATAATAGGAATTAATCTGCCCCATTTTTGAACTGTGCAGAGCTGTAGCTGCTTTATTGGGACTACTTCGCTACTGTATTTCAATACTGCTCGTTATGGTGGTACTTGGAGTGACAATTTTTTTCTGAGGTGGTACTTGATGAAAAAGGTTTGAGAACCATTGCTGTATAGTATAGAAGTATGCGGTTTCGGACGCAGCTACGGATTTAATTTTGAATCTTTTTTTTTTTTTCGCCTGTATACTAACTGTGTAGGTCTGTCTGCAATGGTTTTCCCCCCTCGGGCATTGCAGTTGAAAGGTGCTGTGCACTGCAGATTTCAAAAGAAATGAGGAGCTCAGATCAACACAGTCTGGCTGCTGTTTGTTATTATGTTATATTTTTAAGTGTTTAGGACAATCCTTGGTTTGAACATTGATGTGAATAAATGATGAATTTCAGCATGCAGAAATAGCATCTTGAAGAGGCCGGGACCTAACAAGTACTAAAGGGCATTTGATTGATTTGAGAACCTGAAATATGATGTGACATCAAAAAAAGAAAAAAATTTAAATAATAATCATTGATTTATTTTACCAGAAGTGACAGACCTAAGAATTGTATTCACAGAGAAACAAATTTCCACTCTAGAATAGCAACATATGTGTTTTTTTTCATACCAGCTGTGCATTTCTGGATGCGGTGGTTTCCTGTCTCCAGATGATGGTCAGGGTCCCTGTTAAATAGCAAACAAACTGACTAGCATAATGTGCACCACAGGTGTTTCTCATCTGCGGCAGGCCTCGTTTTGTTCCCATGGCTATCGGTCCTGCCCCCACCACATACCCCCATTTCTCATCACAGGCCGGGGGCACTCCATGGCTGTGCATACTCCTGGGGGGGCGAGACCTATGAGATGGGCTAAGAGAAGAGGAGATGTAAAAAAACAGAGGAAAGACAGTGTAGACTGAGAGCAGGGAGAGAGGCAAAGAGGTCCTCCTGGCTGGCGGCATTTCTAGTGTCCCTCTTCGCTCCTGCTTCGGTGGACGGAAGGAGGCTTTTGCAACTTGACAAATCGTGGTGATTCCCCAGCACTTTCCCTGCCAGTGATGAGCCCCACGTCCCCTGCTCCTCCCCATGCTGGGAGCCGGCAGCAGGCACATCTTTTCCTCGTCAGCCTCAGGCCCCCCCGGCACTCTGGGCAGACGAAGAGGTTTCTCTCCCATTCTGGTGTACTCCTGAACACTCGCCCTCCCTCTCAGCGGCGAGAGCAACTGGACAATATGTCCCTACTTCTCCCGGATGTCGGCACCACTGTAATGAAGTTTACGGCCACCTGGCCGCCGGGAAGAAGGGGGCGGAGAACCGACAACCTTTTAATACGTTTTTAATGAATAAATCAAACAAACTGAAAGCAAAAGTCAAACAATAAGTCCAGGCCCGGTCCTCTCTCGTTCTCCTCTACCATCGTTCCTCCTATAGTCCAGAGCTCCTTCTGTGGGATTCGAGGCCGTTGTGTGCCACAGGTGTTTCTCATCTGCGGCAGGCCTCGTTTCATTGTCATGGCTCTTGGCCCCGCCCCCTCGCCACAGCAACATTCTAACAAAGAAATATTCAAACTACAAGTATTAAAAAAAGAAATGTCAAAACTTTAACATTATGCATCCTTCTTTTCCAGTGCCAGAATTATCTGCAGGTCAGCAGGAGGTATTTGAAGTCTTTCTGAGGGACCATAAAGAGCATTTATCAATCGAAGATAAAAGAGCTGTTTTGCAACAAAGGTCGGTGTATACAAGTGTCAGAATCCTGTCGTGACTGTTGTGTCATCTGAATGTTCTCAGTGTTTAGTGCAGGGGTCACCAATCCTGGTCCTGGAGGGCCGGTGTCCCTGCAGGGTTTAGCTCCATCTTGCCTCAACACACCTGCTTGGATGTTTCAAGTATACCTAGTAAGACCTTGATTAGCTTGTTCAGGTGTGTTTGATTAGGGTTGGAGCTAAAATCTGCAGGGCACCGGCCCTCCAGGAACAAGTTTGGTGACCACTGGTTTAGTGCGTCTGTTGTTGTTTTGTGACTCCTTCCCCTTCTACACTTATTTCCATCATTCCTTGCCCAGTTCTCTGATGAGTCAAAACTGGAGATGGACATGTAACATAGTCCTGTCTCTTCCATTCCTATTACCCATCACTCAGGGCCGGAGTGGGACTCCTTTTCAGCCCTGGAGTTTCAAGCCTCAGACCGGCCCACCTCAGTTTACGACTGACTATATTAAAATAAGGTCATTTCCAAATCAGTTTCTAATGACACTATCACGTCTTTTTTTTTGAGAAAACAGCTGCTTTAGAACTTCAAATGTTCAACAACCATAACAGTATTATATGTCTTAAAAATTAAAATGAAAAAAATTAATTACTTAGACGAGGATCGAACCCGGGTGAGCGACATCGTAACATAACGTGCTAACCACTGGACCACAATCTATACATAGAGTTGTGACTCATCTGACTCATTAACCTGCAGGCTGCATCTTGCTCACGAAGCTTCGAGAAAATAGATAAAAAGAGCAGAGCTGCGGTAAAAATAATGAATAAAAAGGCTGTGGTCAAGTAAATAAATAAATAAATTTTAAAAATGTGACTGCTAAGAGCAACAGATTCTGGAGCTAGGGAAACCAGCCCTCGCGGCCAAAAAACAGACCGGCCCACCGGGAATTCTCCCGGTCCTCCTGATTAGCCAATCCGGGCCTGCCATCACTCCTGATCATCTCATTGCTTACAGATGTTTGGGGTGGGGGCTTCCATGTCTCCCCTGTTTTGGCTGAGGAGGTAGTCCAGCTATTCATGTCATGACTTTATCTTCTTTTATCTGCCTTTACCTCATTGATTTGCCCTCCTACTCATCCTACATGTCTGCTTTGCCTTGTCACATTGTTTTAGAAATGTATCCTTTCTATGCATTCATGTTCTGCCATGTCCAATCATGTCTTTGTGGCTATGTCTTTGTTCTGTCCCCTACCTTGCAAACACTGTATTTTCATTCTGCATCCTTGTCCAACCAGTTGTTGAAATACACATGTTCTGTCTGATACCTTCACCTGACATGTGGTTTGCTGTTCATTACTACTGGAATACTTATTTTAGAATATGTTAAATAAATAAATAAATAAATAAACACAAAATAAATGAATTAGGGGCTTCACGGTGGCGCAGTGTGGTTGCTGGTTCAAGCCTCGGCTAAGTCAGTTGGCATTTCTGTGTGGAGTTTGCATGTTCTCCCCACGTTGGTGTGGGTTTCCTCCGAGTGCTGCGGTTTCCCCCACAGTCCAAACAGATGCACTATAGGTGTAACGACGGGGAGTGACACTGACAACAGAAGGTAGGATCCAAATGCAGGTTTAATCGTAGTCAGGCAAGCAATGGTCAAAACTGGTGTAAACAGGTATATTGAGACAGTCCAGAATCGTAGTCGAATAACAGGCAAGGAGGTCAGAAGGCAGGCGGCTAAACAGGAGAACTGGATAAACAAGGCTAGGATGAAAACACGGGAAAACAAGACCAGGATAACGCGTTGTAATGTCACCTTACATATAAACAAGACTCAGCAAACTGGATGGGTTCATGAATGGCTTAAGTATGGTGTGTTATCAGCCCTTGACAAGGTTCAGCTGGTGTATGTAATCAAGCGAGATGAATGAGCAGGCGTGCGTGTTTGGAAGTGCATGTATGAATATGTAGTCCTGGGAAATGCAGAAGTGAAGTTCATGATTATAGTGGAAACCAGCGATTTCCGGAGAACGATCGCTGGTTATCGTAACAATAGGTGAACTGGGTAAGCTAAATTGTCCGTAGTGTATGTGCGTGAATGAGTGTGTATGGATGTTTCCCAGTGATGGGTTGCATTTGGAAGAGCAATCGCTGTGTGAAACACATGCTGGATATTTTGGCGGTTCATACCGCTGTGGCGACCCCAGATTAATAAAGGGACTAAGCCGAAAAGAAAATGATTAAATACATGAGTAAGTAAAAACAAATCTCCCTCACCTTTATTTGCTGAAAATGTTTTGTCACAGACTCACCTGTTGACTTTTAAGCTTGGACTTTAAAACACACTTCCATGTCACTTGTTCTGTGCACTGCTGGCGACTTAACATCTGTACACCTTAACATGTTGTGGAGATTTTGGGTTTAGATTAGTCTAAGTTTGTTTCTTTTGAATCAGAATTCAAAACACAACTATTTTGCTTGATTTCACTGCATCTTAAAACAACAAAAACCAGTCAAAACATCTAGTTATCATTATCTCAATTTAAGGATGGCTGACGTGAAACTGACATTTCGACACAGTGTCGAGATCCCAAAGTGCAAATGTTTCGAAACACTGGACCAAAGTATGATCCGCAACACACAGATCATGTGAAAAAGAGATTTGAAAAACAGGTCACATGACTAAAACGATTCCAAGCATCAGCCATTTCAGAAGCATTTCGAAACCTGGCGAATCTGCATTTGATTGACAGGGTCAGGAAAAACATGCAGCCTAGTGGACCGTGCGTTTGCACAGAGGAAAGCCTGTAGTCAATGCGTGTAGTCGAGCATTTATACTTCTGCATGCTGTTTGTGTTGCTCTGGAATAACACTTTCGAAACGTATAAACAGCTGTTATGCCATTTCTAGGCTGTTGTGCTCTCTTTATGTTATTGATTATTGAATTTTTAGTTTGAGAAATATAGATATTGTTGTTCATTCATTCATTCATTCATTTTCTTGTGGGCTTAGTCCCTTTATTAATCCAGGGTCGCCACAGCGGAATGAACCGCCAACTTATCCAGCAAGTTTTTACGCAGCGGATGCCCTTCAAGCCGCAACCCATCTCTGGGAAACATCCACACACACACTCACACACACATATTCATACACTGTGGACAAATAAGCTTACCCAATTCACCTGTACCGCATGTCTTTGGACTGTTGGGGAAACCGGAGCACCCGGTGGAAACCCACGCGAACGCAGGGAGAACATGCAAACTCCACACAGAAACGCCAACTGAGCCGAGGCTCGAACCAGCGACCTTCTTGCTGTAAGGCAACAGCACTACCTACTGCGCCACTGCTTCGCCCGATATTGTTGTTTTGAGTGTTTATAATTTTATTTAGTTTGATTGATATAAACAATGTTTTTGTCCTTGTTAGGTTGGTATAGACTGTAGCTTTAGACTATAAAAGGCTTTCTGGCTTTATTATTTTGCTAATTTATCTTATGTTGTACTTGATCCAGGCCCGGATTGGCTAATCGGGAGGACCGGGAGAATTCCCGGTGGGCCGGTCCGTTTTTTGGCCGCGAGGGCCGGTGTCCCTAGTTCCAGAATCGGTTGCTCTCAGCAGTCACACTTTTTAAAAATAATTTATTTATTTACTTGACCACAGCCTTCTTATTCATTATTTTACCGCAGTTCTGCTCTTTTTATCTATTTTCTCGCAGCCTCGTGAGCAGGATGCAGCCTGCAAGTTGATGATATAACTAGATAAGTCACCAATCACCGTACAGCTGTTGTGGTACAGTGGTTAGCACGATTAGATAATGACGCGGCCAACCTGGGTTCGGTCCTTGTCTGAGTAACAATTTTTTTTTTTTCATTTTTATTGTTAAGACATAATACTGTAAGGGTTGTTGAACATTTGAAGTTCTAAAAGAGCTGTTTTCTCAAAAAAAGACGTGATAGTGTCATTAGAAACTGAATTGGAAATAACCTTACTTTAATATAGTCAGTGGTGAACTGAGGTGGGCCGGTCTGAGGCTTGAAACTCCAGGGCTGAAGAAGAGTCCCACTCCGGCCCTGACTTGATCAGTATTAATCTACATACTTACAAGTTTATTCTTTTATTTAATTTAAGATTACTATTCTCGAAAAACTGTAACTTTTTAAATTTCACTCTGTAGACATATGACAAAGATTTTCTCATTGGCTGTTTCGTTTTGCAGGTTTGTTGAAGCTAAGGCACTTGGTGAGCAAGTTAACCAGATCCGGACCAGAGTCAGTAAGTCAAACTTTTTGCCAAATTTTGCCAGTTGTTATTTAGTATATCATATAGATTTAACATTATAACAGTCAACCTTTTATGATTCATTTATAACTATTTAGAATTCTCTGTGTGTGGGGGGGTGATTGTACAGTGCATCCGGAAAGTATTCATAGAGCTTCACTATTTTCACATTTTTTTATCTTAGAGCCTTATTCCAAAAGGGATTAAATTCATTTATTTCCTCAACATTCTACACACAACACCACATTATGACAATGTGAAAAAGGATTTTTTTGAAATTGTTGCAAATTTATTACAAACAAAAACCCTGAAAAATCATATATACATCAGTATTCACATGCTTTGCTCAATACTTTTGTTGATGCACCTTTGGTAGCGATTACAGCCTCAAGTCTTTTTGAATATGATGCCACAAGGTTGGCACACGTGTCTTTGGAAATTTTTGCCCATTCCTCTTTGCAGTACCTCTCAAGCTCTATTGGGTTGGATGGGAAGTGACGGTGTACAGCCATTTTCAGATCTCTCCAGAGATGTTCCATAGGATTAAGATCTGGGCTCTGGCTGGGCCACTCAAGGACATTCACAGAGTTGTTGTGAAGCCATTCCATTAATATTTTGGCGGTGTGCTTTGGGTCATTGTCCTGCTGGAAGATAAACTGTCACCCCAGTCTGAGGTCAAGAGCACTCTGAAGCAGGTTTTCATTCAGGATGTCTCTGTACATTGCCGCATTTATCTTTCCCTCTATCCTGACTAGCCTTCCAGTTCCTGCTGCTGAAAAACATCCCCACAGCATGATGCTGCCACCTCCATGCTTCATTGTAGGGACGGTATTAACCTGGTGATAAGCGCTGCCTGGTTTTCTCCAAACGTAACGCCTGGCATTCACTCCAAAGAGTTCAATTTTAGTCTCATCAGACCAGAGAATTTTGTTTCCTATGGTCTGAGAGTCCTTCAGATGCCTTTTGGCAAATTCCAGGTGGGGAGTGGCTTCCGTCTGGCCACTCTACCATACAGGCCTGATTGGTGGATTGCTGCACAGATGGTTGTCCTTCTGTAAGGTTTTCCTCTCTTCACAGAAGAACGCTGGAGCTCAGACAGAGTGACAATCTGGTTATTGATCACCTCCCTGACTAAGGCCATTCTCCCCCGATCACTCAGCTTAGATGGCCGGCCAGCTCTAGGAAGAGTCCTGGTGGTTCCAAACATCTTCCACTTACGGATGATGGAGGCCGCTGTGCTCATTGGAACTTTCAGAGCAGCAGAAATGTTTCTGTAACCTTCCCCAGCCTCGTGCCTCGTGACAATTCTGTCTCAGACGTCTACAGACAATTCCTTTGTCTTCATGCTTGGTTTGTGCTTTGACATGCACTGTCAACCCTGAAACCTTATATAGACAGGTGTATCCAATCAAATGAATTGACCACAGGTGAACTCCAGTTAAGCTGCTGAAACATCTCAAGAATGATCAGTGGAAACAAAATGTACCTGAGCTCAATTTAGAGCATCACGGCAAAGACTGTGAATACTTTTGTACATGTGGTTTTTCAGAGTTTTTTTTGGTAATAAATTTACAACATTTAAAAAAAAATCTTTTTTTCACATTGTCAATATGGGGTATTGTGTGTGGAATTCTGAGGAAATTAATTAATTTAATCCATATTGGAATAAGGCTGTAACATAAAAAAATGTGGAAAAAGTGAAGCGCTATGAATACTTACCGGATGCACTGTATGTTATATATATTACACAAACACACACAGTGTACATACAGTTGGACACATAATTAAACATAATAGATTTCATAACTAACTTCTAATTACTGATAATAACAGTTGATGTTGACAGTTAATGTTGATGAATACATAATATTTTACTAGTTATTTTGCAAGCTACTAGTATTCAGCTTAAAGTGCAACAGTGGGTTGTTCTGTAGACAAAAAAAAAAAAAAAAAAACATTCTTGAAGGGGCAAGTAATATTGACCTTAAATTTTTTTAAAAACTTTTTTTATAGAAGAAAAAATAAACTATTACAGGGAACACTGTGGGAACACATGTGTGTATTTCTTTGCTCTGTTAAACTTTTATTTTTTTATTTTTATTTATTTACTCATTTTTACTCACATGCAATTTTGGTAGGAATAGTATTTTAAAAGTCTTTTGTCTTTAATAGGCAGATAACAGAAACTAAAAGCAAGTAAAATACCACAAAATAGAAAGCATGCAAGCAACGGACAGAGTTTTCTTCTCACAAATTTTAAATGTTCAGTTTGTTGCTGACACAGTTCAGTTCATTGAGATCTCTTTTTTTGAATCAGATTTTTAAAATCTGCAGTGGGTCCACAGGAGCAAGTTTGAAGACCTCCACTCTAACCTGTCAACGTTATCAATCAATCAATCAATCAATCAATCAATCAATCAATCAATCAATCAATCAATCAATCAATCAATCAATCAATCAATCAATCAATCAATCAATCAATTAATCAATCTCTTTCCTTCTTTTTTAGACTATCTGAAGGGCGAGCTGAAAAACAGACGAAAGCAAATGGCAGTCCAAGGTTGGTGACATAAAAATTACTTCTTTATTTTCTTTCACATAATCTTTTCCCTTACCAAATCCTCATATTCCGGATCAGTTTGTGGCATGGCCCTGGTAACAGTGTTTGTAATAAAATTTACAGTTTTTTTTCTATTTTTTTTTTCTATTGCTAACATACTTTTTTTCAATCTGTAGTCACATTTTCTTTTAACACAATTAGCACATCAGTCTGCGGAGGGTTTTTCCCATATGGCATGCGGTAACAAATTCCATTAAAACAACACTCTTTCAGCAGTTCCTGCCTCCAATACCTCAGTCACGGAGGTCAAGCATGAAATGTTTCTGAATGAGAGCAAAAATGTGCCAAATTGCAGTTAAAGTCTACAAATTAAAAATGAAACACCTGAAATTACACGAAACTGCGGAAGAAACGTGCATATTGTGGTGACGCAATGCCGATAATCGAATTATGTGCTATAACATGCTATAACATGAAGGAACATTCAAAAAGCAGCTCCTGAATACACCTTCATCATATCATAATCTTACTCAGATTAAGGCAAATAATTTGATAAGTGATGTCCATGTAAACGTAGTCAATGAAAGCAGGTAAATCTTCAGTTTATTCAGCAAACCGCTATTTACCCATTGACTTTTCTGGGTTTCTTTGTGTGTATTTTGATTACAAATTTACTACAAATCACACTGTACTTCCTTGAGAAGACGTGCACCACAATTGCAGCTTTGCTCAATGGCCTTTGTAATTTCAGTTTGATCAATCAAACTGTTTTTTGGATTTTCAGTTATCTTGCTGAAGTGAGTGCTTTACTCTGCATACTACAACTTCTGACAATGCTAGTCAGATGAGCATTGGTGGAAAGGCAGAGGGAATTGATTGAATGTATTGGGTGAGATGTTTGCTTGCTGACTGTAGTTTGATGAGCTGCTCTCATTTTATAGCCTTTCTATAAAATTTACAGGACATACCTAAAGTAACAACAGCAAAACAATCTGAATGACCTGGCCATGCATTTAGAATTGCTGAATGTTTTGACTTTTTGTACAGTTTGACAAAAGTCAAGTTTTTGACCTTCGTCTGAAATAAGTCACATTACATCAGTTTCTCTTTATTCTGTTCTTTTTAGGCTTAACAGGAAATCAAACAGAATCAGAGTTGGATCCTTTTGAGGAGAAAATCCTTACCCAGATAGAGGAGGAGAAGAAGAAGTGTGTTTCTTTTTAATTAAAATAACAATAGGGTATATGCGGAGCTAGTGTTTCTTCCACAACTGATAAACTTCCGGTTCATGTGACTTTTTCTATTTTATACGGTTTCTTTTACAGCATCGATGTTGTAATGAAATTAAAATACAATCAGTTAAGTAGACTTTGGCATTTATTTAGTCAACAAAGGCTCATTCTGAAAAACGTAGTCCCACGGGCATGGTTTAACGCCATTCTTATTCACGCTTACCGGTTGACTGCTTACCCCCTGTGGCAGCTTTCCCGCCGCAACCAGTTTATTCAGTTATCTCATAGTGTACGTCGACTGACTTGAGATGCAGAGGGGAGATGACCATGACGGGGTTCGAGTTCAGGGAAGAGCAGGTCCAGAAATCAGGTAAGACAAAAACAGAATGAAAAAAAAAAAAAAACGAACAAGCGAATTACAGGGTGGGAATGTGGTAAAATCCGAAAACATGGTAAACATCAGACGAAGGCGTTTCTTTTTTCTGGACGGCTTTTGTAAATTGTTGCTTGGGTTTAGGGAAGTAAGTGGGTGGGCGGGTCAGTCGATTGGCCAGCTGGCCAGCCAGTCATTGAGTCAGTCAGACAGACGTTCAGTCGACAGCGGCCTCTGGTGGGTTTCCGCGAGAATAGTGGGCACCAACGGCACTCGTGGGAGAAATTTGAGATAGGATAAAGTGCACGCAGCGGTCTCTCTTGGGTTTGCGAAAACAAAAACTGCAAAAATACATACCTCACCGGGCGTATTTCGCGGTTTCAAGAAACGGACTACGTTTTCAGAATGAGCCTGGGTTGCATTTACTTGCTCAAGCGTCAAAACGAGACAAAAAGTCGTTTACTCGCATGCGCCCATCAGAATCAGCAGGCTAGCGCAGAAACTTGAATATACTGGGGTAAAATAGATATTCATATTTTAAAGACGTGGTGGGGAAATTGTAATTTAATGCAGTGCTTCTTGTACAATCTGAGACCCACTTTATAGCGGATATCACTCAGCCAGTGGAGATCTCCGATTTTTTAAAGAAAACAGACCTTAAACGTGTCGATTTTGTAATGGCATACAGTTCACCGGAAGCGCTTAACCCAAGTTACAGACAAATAAAAAGTTCTTCTGCATTCTTCCGCATATACCCTATTCACAACAACAAGCTTCTTTAATGTTAAATGTACATCTCAATTAAAACTTTCTTATGTCTCATGAAGTTTATGATCTTTATGGAATGTGTTCTGTGTAATACTTGTATATCTGTTCTTTTTTTCTATCTTTATAGTTACAAGATCACATCTGGATGTTTAAAAGATTTGAAAACAGAGATTGAACATCTGCAGCTGTTACTTGAAAAGTCGAAAGTAAAAATCCAAAGTGACTTTGAGAACTGGTGGACCCAGGAAGGCGCTAGACTACAGGTTTTTATGTCTGCAATATATAGTATTAGCCCCTTTCACACAGTGATACCGGTAGGTCTCCTGAAAATTTCCGGAACGACTTTACCGGTAAATTAATAAAGCACTGTTCACACAGGCAAGGCCGTTACAGAATTTTTCCAGAAAAGACCGTTCACACATCCATTCCAAAATACCGGTAAATTCTGACATCATTAACCAGAAATGAGCTCTAAACGGCTGTGCTTTGTATTTGTAAACATTCGATTACATTACAAACTCTGTGGATGGATAAGTATTGTGAACAACGATGAAATCATATGGAGGAACACATTTACATGTCGAGATGTACATAATATGTGTGTTCTGGCGCGCACCGGCTGCTTTACGTGCACACGCGTCAGGTAAGCTTAAAGGTAAACAAACAACGGCTTATCATAAGCATTTCATCATTAACTTTTTTACACAGTTGGCATTAAGAAGGAACAGAAATGTTATCTGACCAACATCTAGCAGCTAAATGTGTCTGCCTGGAAAGATATTCATTTATTTTCATAAACCGCGCAGTCGTGAATGCGTCTGACCAAATTAGCCACAGATCAGTTATTAAGATTTAAAGTTCCAGGATCTGCCAAATCATCTTAGATCATTTAAGCGAGGTACGAAGAACGGACCCCAGGAGCCACAGATCACTAATACCTACAAATTGTCTCCATTCCAAAATAAGCTCTTTAAACCAACTTCAGCTTTGAAGACACTACAAACAAAATTGATTGTCAATATACTATGGAAACTCGAATATCAAAAGACAACCTACAAACATTGACTGAAATATAACACATAACAAGGGGGGCAGACAGTCACTGCGGCAACTAACAATGGTACTCATGGTGATAAACAAAGGGATTAGCACAGGAAACACAGAGAGAACAGAAACACATAAAGCAATGGGTCTTTAAATGGGTGCAGATTTCAGCACTACACTTTGATTAACAAGTCTGAGAAAATGTATGTTTTTATTTTATTTAAAAATTACACTTTTATTACATTGACTTAATGTACAGTATGTATTGTACCTTTCTTCATCAGGGTCACAGTGGAGAGAACACAGGAAACAATCGAAGAGGCATCAGCCCTCTCAGCCACATGTTAACCAGGTGAAAATATAGATATACATAGTTGAGGTCAAATGTTTACATAAATCTTGCAGAAATGTTGATTATTTTTCCAAAAATAAGTGGATTATACAAGTCAATTATGACAAAATTATTATGACAAAATGCAAAATACTTTTTTTAATTAAACACTGACTTTAAAAAAGATGTTTTACATAGAATATGTTTGCATTTAATCCACAAAAGAAAATGATTGTTAAATTTATTAAACAAAAATAGCTTGTTTAAAGTTTGACAAACACTTTATTCTAAATGTGTTGTTACCTGAATGATGCAGAAGGATGATTGTTTTTTGTGGGAGCATGTTTGTGTGCCTACCTATCTAAGAGTTGTCCTTACACACTCATTAACAGAGACATGAGAGTTAAGTGGGAGCATTTTAGATCCTCTGTTATTTGTTTAAGCACATTGCGACACAGTTGGAGCAGGAACTGTAGGGCCATTACACATGTAATTCATAGTCTTCACTCTCCTATGTTGTCTCAGAATGACTGTCAATGGCCCTGAGAGACTCTGAGAGACTCTGAGGGCCCTATCATAGACCCGGCGCAATGCGGCGCGACACAATTGTTGTTTGCTAGTTTCGGCTTGGCGCAGGAGTCGTTTTGACATTTTGCGCTACGCTTTTTAAATAGCAAATGCATTTGCGCTCATATGTGCGCCCATAGGCGTTCTGGTCTAAAAAAGGAGGTGTGTTAAGGTGCATTGCTGGTGCGTTGCTATTTTGAGGAACTAGAATAGTTCAATAGACCAGATCAAAGCAAGTCTATAGTCCAGCGCAAAGCGCGTTAGTTGTGCGCCTCGCTTACACACTGCTTTATACACACAGGATGTACAGCAATACACAAATCTTTACAAATGAAAAAGTATTATTACAAAAAATATTATTTTCTCCATGCCTTCTTCATCTCGGGATGCTTTTTCAGTTTATTAATAACAATTTGCTTTTGTATAATGTTATTATTATTAGCAGTATTATTTATTATACGCATATTTGTATTTGTTTTATTAAAAACAAGCTTAGATTTGTCCACCTGTCAGGTTTCAGACCATATGGGGCACAGCATGTGTATTAGGATATAACTCAGTTGTTTGACCACACTTCGTTATTATTATTCATTTATTCGTTTGCTGGAAATTCGAACTGAATTTAGAAATAGTTTTGAAACAAATCTTTGCGCTTAACAAACGAATTTTTTTTAAATCTTACCATTTTGAACAATTTACTACTCTGCGCTTTTGCTAAGCTAACCGTCTCTATTGGCATTAACATTTGAGCCTATTACATTCAGAGATGTTGTTCATCCACATTACACATGAACTAAAGTTTAAAATGTGATATCGTAAGGGACGACTCCTTTAAGGCTGGGTCTTGTTAATGTGTTGATGTTCCTAATTGCATAATGTTTTCTTCTGGGGTATCATTAAAGATTTGCACTTCCTGTAATACTATGACCATCATTCCCTTGTAAAAGCCAATGTCATACTAGGGGCTGAGTGTATGCAGCCCCTAGTATGACATTGGCTTTTTATAGGCCAGAGTGCCAGTAGAACAGGTGTCCAGGCATGTTGTGGCAACAACAGTTGCTTACTGTTCGGGTTGGGAATGCAGCCTTAGGTTCGTACAATGTTTTAATTATGCACTGACATGTCAATTGCATGTACACATGGCAGTTTTTCTGCAAAGGTTTCATAATTTCTGCTAGAGAAATGTGATAGTAGCCAACATTAACTATACATAAGTTGCACACAGCTCAAATCATAACTGAGGCGAGCTCAATCATGCAGCATATACTGTGAGCCCTCATGACAGCTCACGCTTCGGTTCAGCTGAATTTTCCTCTTTGGTTTAGCTGATTTTGGACTGGTTCAAGAAAGCTCATGTGGAAAGATATGTAAACATTGACCTTAACTCTATATGTATGTGTAAACAGAATTATGTTCAATAATGTAGCAGTTATTTGATGTTAACATTTTAGGTGGACTGAACTCCTATTTTGTGTGGAAATGTGTTGGAATTGCTTAAACAAGTTTGAACCATTTTTGTTTAGGAAAAATAATCTCAAAGATGATGAATCGGATCTTCACGAGGGGAGGCAAGGAGAGATCAGAGATAAGAGGTACGATCTGATGATTGTACAAAACAATAAACATTGAAAATCAGGGGTGCAAGCTACAGTACTTCAGTAAATATACTTCATTATTGAAATACTAATTTTGAAAAGGTACTATGATACAGGTACAAAGGTAATAATATATATATATATAGTAAATAGCACTTCATTTAGATGACAAATTTCAAATAGCTGTAATAAAAATATTTTGACTCATTAATTTGAAAGTATTTTTACTTCCAATGAAAGCTTGTTTAAAAAAAACATTTATTGTTTGACTAATACAATACTACACTACAATACTAATATAATAGTATTATTACAATAATAATAGTAATAGGAATACAATACAATACTAATATAATAGTATTATTACAATACTAATAGTAATAGTAATACAATACAATACTAATAGTAATACAATACAATACAATAGTAATACAATACCAGGGTTCAACGCTAAGAATTTTTTCTACTGATCCATTCGGGCCAGTGGTTTAGATTTTTACTGGCCCCACCAAAAAAATAAATAAATAAATAAAAAGAAGTTAATACTTTTTTTGCCAAATATTTTAAATAATATGTCAAAAATAACGTCTGTAAATCTAGCATTTCAAAAGTTAATAAATGGTTGAGCAAAATTCTTAGTGTTATGCAAACAAAACATCAAACGTCATCAGGGAAACGGTTTGAATTTCTGCTTAGTAAAAAAAAACTTTAGTGTGCCATTTGGGACGACACTACATACATATACTATACTGTTGAGTAAGTGCATAAGTACATAGTGCATAGTGTGCCATTTGAGACGCAGCTTAGGTTATGGGGAAAAACAGCATGCTCAAAACATCACGGACGAACCGAAAAGCAATATAGTATCTACGACATCACAGAGAAGATAGCATTTAAAGACTTAAAAGCACAAACTTAAAATGCACGCAATTGACAAAAAGTCGCAGGCAAATTAAAGTTTAGTGACAAGGCAGCACTGTCCTGATCGGGCCAGTAATGATCCTGTCTACTGTCCCAAGTGTCTCTCACGCTGGCCCTGGGCCACCGGGCAGTCCTTATTGTTGAGCCCTGAATACAATACTAATAGTAATACAATACAATACAATAGTAATACAATACAATACTATACTATACAATACAATACAATTGTAATACAATACAATACTAATACTAATACATCACCTGGCTGATGTGCAATTGCAGGGGTGCTCAACCCTGTTCCTGGAGATCTACCATCCTACAGAGTTCTTCCTACAGAGTTCAGCTCCAACCCTGATCAAACACACCTGAACCAATTAATCAGGACCTGAACAGCACTTGATAATTACAGGCAGGTGTGTTTAATACAATGACTGTAAAAAATATGGACGACGCGACAGCCCTTTTTCCCATTGAACGCCTTGAGGGCAAAACGCCTGCTTGACGGGCACAAACTGTCGCAAAAGACTGCTGAAATTGGAGCCTTGACATGCGCAGAAGGATTGTCTGATGGAGCCAGAGGAGGAGCCGCGAAAATGAGCAGAGTCGAGCTTCCAATCAAACGCTTTATGTAAAATCAACTACGCCCCCCGAACTTCTCAGCATGCGTTTGCTGTCATATCAACACAAATGGATGTAATAACGTTAACAAATATGAGGGTTTTATATATTCAATCGCGCCAGCTCCAGGCCGCATATAACTTACTTGCGGCGTCGCAGGCTGATTCCGGCTCGCATGCGGCAGAGCCTGCTCGCTCGGCCGCCGCATCTGGCTCGATTGACTCGGGCTGGAATTGGGTAGTGAGTCCAGGCATCCGGAGTAGGTCCAGCAGAGGTAACATTAGTCAGTCTGAGCTCTAAGAGATAAGTCTCCGGCAGGCGAGAATCTAGCCGGAACTGTGTTTTGCTATCTGGGTGGCTAGGCGTGTATCAGCAAACTAATAAAGCCCGAAAAAAGCCCTGAACTTAGCGAATAAACAGTGTTCCACCAGGATCATGTATGTCAGAAACTATAGTTTACTGCTGAACTCATTTTGTCATGGTAAAATAACACAGAAATCGAATAATAACATTTCAGTCTACTTCAGTCTCCTGCCGAAGCTCAGACGCCGCGCTTTGAGAAACTGTCAATCACAGCTGTCAATCACGATGACACGCCTAGCATTAAATTACTGCTAAAAACAAACTGTTTACAAAAATGAAGATCTGCACCTATTTCAGCACAATAACCAGTGCCTTAATCGACCAGAACTATCTTTCGGGACATTTTATTGCAAGTGTAATATTTTTTTTTATTTGGGCTCAAGTCTCCTTCATTAACACGGAGGAGGCGGGCTTTATGACTTGTACTGCAGCCAGCCCCCAGGGGGCGATCTAACGGCCGAAACCTTCACTCAAACGTAGGCTTGCGGCACACTTGGTTTAATATGGGTTGCAACTGAAATCTGCAGGAAGGTAGATCTCCAGGAACAGGGTTGAGCACCCCTGTGCTATTGTATAAATCAACTTTTTGAGATTAGAAACTTTAGAAGAAACATACTGAACAGTATTCAAGAAATGTGAGTTTGTTTAAATGTTTGTGCAAATATATTCTGTATGTACAGTGTGCATATGTACTTTGTGTACATAAATATGTACACTGATTTCTGGCCTGGAGCGGTATGGTGGCTTAGTGGTAAGCACTGTTGCCTCACACTGCCAGTTGTCATTTCTGTGTGGAGTTTGCATGTTCTCCCTGTATCCACGTGGGTTTTCTCTGGGTCCTCCAGTTTCACCCACAATCCAAAGACATGTGGTATAAGTGGTTTGAATAATATTTTCCCACCTTAGACACTGTCTAGCCATTGAATTTTAGTCTCCTGACATCACAACCTAAATCTAACCTAATATTAACATCTTATGATGATGTGTGCCTGCTGGGCAATAACTCGATGCACTACATAATGTTACGTTTACACACACATGTACATATTACATGCAAATTTATCAGCTTTTCACAGCGTGATACTCACTACTCTTGAGTACTTTTAAAAGGTCTACTTTTTACTCGTATTTTGAGTAATATTTACAGCAGATACTTTTACTAATTCTCTACTTACACTAGATTTTTAGGCAAGTAATGGTACTTTACAGTCTTAAGGATTTGTTCTACTGGCCTGATCGGGCCAGTGGTTCAGATTTTTACCTGCCCTGCCAAAATTTTCACTCACCCCACCAAAAAAAGTAAACAGCTATTTCTTAGCCACATACAGTATTTTAAATAATGTTTCAAAAGCCAAACATAATTGTAATATAATACCTACCCTTTTTTTAAGCATAACTTTTTTATGTAACTGAAAATAAAAACAATTGTGATGTAACTAAATTTGACTCTGAAGACTGGAGTAATGAAGCTGAAAATTCATCTTTAAAATCACTGGAATAAATGATTAAATTAAATGATAAACAACCTTTGAACAGTTATTTTATCATGCAATAACATTTCACAATTTTACAATGTGTGCTGTTTTGTGATGAAATAAACGCAGCCTTGGGTGCGCTCGCAAACTGAAGAGCAGGGAGCGGGTATGAAGATGGTTGCACCTTGGGTTTGGTGCGCATGGGGATTGAACCAAAAAGCTAGCTGGACTGTACCAAAAAGCTGAAGAGCAGGGGAGGGGTGGTTGGGGGTGGGGGGGGGGGGGGGGGTTTCCAGGAGACAGAACAATACAGGAGATAGGCGGGAGATGGGTCTGAAATACTAAAATCACAAACACAAACTGTTGTTGTGTGAAACGCTGGAGGAAGCTAGCATCAAATGGTGACGTAACAATGCTAAATGAACTATGCACTATGACATGTTAAACAGGAACATGAAAGAAACATTTAAAAAGCAACTTATATAAACACCTTATTCATTTTATTGTCTTATTCAGATTAAGGCAAATATTTAGATTACCGATGTCCATGTAAAATGTAGTCAGTGTCTCATCAATGTCTTCTTAGCCATGGAGGGTTTTTTTTTTTGTGTTGTAGTCATCAGTGCAGGTCAGTCACTCAACAGACTGGATCCAAATGACCATGTTAATATTACAAGGGAGGGACAGACAGGCAACCAGAAGCGTAGACGCCATTTTTCTTACAATGTTGTATTTGGAAGTATTCCCAATAGCCTTGATTAATGCAGCCTAACAAATCGTTGTGTCAGTGGGCTAGGAAGACCGACGAACTAATGTCAGCTTTAGATATTCTCCTATTATCAACTGCAACAGAATCTGGGAAGCTAAACCATTCAAAACGTTGTGATTAATCAGCAGGATTTTAAAATATAAGCACATTTGTCTACAGAATTTGCATCTGAGGCACAGTCATCATTTAAATGTATTTGACTATTAGCCGTATTTGATCACAAAAAAAAATCATTAATCATGGTTGCTGACCATGTCGATTGTAGGTGTACATGGATAGCCAAACCTGCATGATTTGCCAAATGCCTATTACTTTTACAGCAAAATTAATACTCAAAATGATAAATATAAATATACTAATAGATTTGTAGTTATGTTACATTGTAAAAATAGAATGAACATAAAAACACTCTAAATACATCTAGACCTGCTTTTTACCAGCAAGCAATATCCTTTAAATGCTGAGCTGTCAAACATGACAACTGCCAAACTCATCTGCGCTTTAAATTTGATCTGGAGTGGCAGGCGCTTTACCCGTTTCTTTCTGATCGTTTCAGCTCCGCCACTTGATGTTTACATTAGAGCTGACATCCTGATTCACCTCAGGGCATATGTAGAAAACCTGTAGAACCTAGTATGGGCACCAATTGCTTCAGAACCTCAGGTTCATTAAAACCTCAGGTCAGACCAGTCCATTCCAGAGGTCTGAAACCCTGACCAGTGAACAAGAGATAGTTGTGCCAGCCTATAATAAAAGGGTTCTCTATTTAGCTCAACATGCTATGGTCAAACCTTAAACTACACACTGGGTTTTTCCAACTAGAACTGAGCCTCACCCTGAAAGTCACACCCTTCCTTGAATTGTTACTGCATGCAATCCATGTCCTGTGCTTGGCAAGTGACATTAAAATTTCCAAAGCCTGCCAGCTGGCATAGGTGATCTGCAATGACTTCCATTACTTTGAACTTTCTGTGCCACTCATTGAACCCATCCCTACTGCAATGATACCAGAGGTTATCTTAGTAAACACAGTGTTAACTGCTTCATTTAAACTCATTGCACTCACATCTGTCACACCAATAGTCAAAGAACAAGTGTAATAAATGAGCTCACTTAGGATCAACACCTCACCTTGTACACCATCACTCATCACTCCATAACTTAAGTGGTTGGAGATATGATACTTCCCTCTACAATAGGGACAAATGATGTAATGACAGATGAACCATACTCGAGATGCAAGTCTAACAAACCGTGAATGATGCTGATGCAATGACTCATCACCCATCTGCCCCATTCTCAAAGCAACCAGCAATTGGTGCCCTACCATAGACTATAGAAAGCTAAATCAGCAAGTGCCATTGTCTCAATGGCCAATGACGCAACTGGAACAGGATATACCCAAACTCAAAGGAGCAACCATCTTCTCAACACTTGAAGCGACACCTGTACATCCAAATGATCAGCACAAGCTAGCATTTTACATTCTACATTAAACAATACACATTCACAAGGTGACCTTTTGGCTATGTCAATTCACCAGATGAATTTAACATCTTCTAAACCAGTGGTTCTCAAATTTTTTTCATCAAGTACCACCTCAGAAAAAAATTGTCTCTCCAAGTACCACCAAAATGAGCAGTATTGAAATACAGTAGTGTAGTAGGCCCAGTAAAGCAGCTACAACTCTGCACAGTTAAAAAACGTGGCAAATTACCTCAGAAATATAGGCTATATGTCATATATGGCATACTATATACATCATTTTTGATACATTTTGAAATATATGTAGCATGTACATGCCATATTTCATTCCTCTGCGTACCATTACAAGGAAGCTCGCGTACCACTAGTGGTACATGTACCACAGTTTGAGAATCACTGTTCTAAACAAAGAATACCCAGATGCTAGAGTTAGAACCTTACCTATGTGGATGACATCTTGATGAAAACCACCAGTGTCTGACCACCTAAAGGAGATAGACTTTACACATACACTTTGACCAATTTAGCTTTTTCGATTCACCTATACAACATGTGGGGGAAACCGGAGCACCCAGAGGAAACCCACGCAAACATGGAGAGAACATGCAAACTCCACACAGAAATGCCAACTGACCCAGCCAGCGTTCGAATCACCAAACTTCTTGCTGTGAGGCGATCGTGCTACCCATTGCACCGTTATGCCCAAATTGAGTAATATCAACAAATTAGTTCTCATTCACACACATGCAACGTTTTTTTTTTTTTTGAGGTATCAACACACCTAAACTATGTTTTAGTCTTCTGAAAAGATTTTAAAACCACTTATACAAAACCACTTGTACAAGATGAACAGCCAGTGGCTTTTTCCCAACTATTTGCTGTTTTTTTGTTGGTCTGACTTTCTAGTAATTTTGAATAAGAATGTCAGCTAAATAAATAACTGTAAATTAAAATGTATGAAATAATTTTGCCCAATTTTAAATTACAGATAAATGATAAGGAGACTATGTGGTAAGTTCTGTCAACACCTGAATATCATTTTGTGTTGTTGTGTTATAGATCCTTGCCCTCATGTGATTTCTCATCAACCCCTTTTTTATTAACCGGAGATAAAAAGACTGATGCAGATATAGAGGCCTTCATCAGAGCCAGACACAACCTGCTCAACAGCACAGGTATTGTTCATAACCTCTTACAAACTAGGATCACATACAGAACATTTAAAAATGAAAGTGAAATCATTTAAATATTAAAGTGAAAATATTTTTGGTGATGATAAAACACAAACACTCATGCAGTGGCCAGTATGCAGACCTTAACATCATACATCACGGGATCCCTTGGATAAAATAAAAGAACGACTGACAGCTCCCTGCTGAAAAAAACAGCTTAAACTAGCCTAGGCTGGTTGGCTGGTTTTAGCTGGTCGACCAGGCTGGTTTTAGAGGGGTTTTGCCCATTTCCAGGCTGGTTTCCAGTCATTTCCAGCCTGGTCTTAGCTGGTCAGGCTGGGAGATGACCAGCTAAAACCAGCTTGACCAGCTTAGCCAGGCTGGGAGCCCAGCCAAAACCAGCTATGTCCAGCTTAAACCAGGCTGGTTAAGCTGGTTTTACTGGATTTAGCTGGTCATTTTCCAGCCTGACCAGCTAAGACCAGGCTGGAAATGGCTGGAAACCAGCCTGGAAATGGCCTAAACCCCTCTTAAGCCAGCCTGGTCAACCAGCCAACCAGCCTAGGCTGGTTTAAGCTGGATTTTTCTGCAGGGTAGATGTGAAAAGGAAATTGAGGTGGAAAGGGGGTTATAATAACAAAGGCTGCAATATTAATATATAAACATATTTAGACAAATCCGTCTGAGAGCAAATGCATAACCCAATCAGCAGTGCCCAAACTAACTGCAGAGGAGTATTGCAGAAAAAAGGAGATCAAGAAAGCCGGGATAATGGAAAAAGTCAGGTAACTAGTTTAATGGGCACCCTAGCACCTACTATATTTATGAATCCTCACACTCACTGATCTAATGATCATAAAGTCAGCCGAGTTCATGGCTCACAATACGGTTGACGTCAGTTCTTCAGTTCCCAAGTGTGCCAGTGCCAGTCTTCCAATGTACAAAATGGCTGCCACCAGTTTTTCAATCCACAAGATAGCCACCTCCAGTTTACCAGCTCACAAGATGATAATTGCCAGCCTGCTGTGAGCTCCCATGACAGCTTCCTGTCCGGATTTTTGTCCAATCATGGTTTCTGTTCCTGAATTTCTTGAATCGCCATTGCCTGAACAACAAAAATTATATCACTGCCAGAGCCTCTGCCAGAGTTACCAGAGCTGCCACCATCTTCAGATCTATTACTGCCAGAGCCTCCATCAACACCAGAGCCTCCACTGTGAGTCGTTGATGCCACGCCCGAGCTCCAAGTGTGGCCACCAGTGCCAAAACTACAGCTGCAAGAGCTGTCAATGCTGCTGACTGAGCTCCAAGAGTGGGTGTCACCAGAGCTATAGCTGCAAGAGCTGTTGATGTTGCTGCCTGAGCTTCAAGAGTGGTCAACGACACCAGAGTTACAGATGCCAGAGCTGTCTGACCTCCCAGAGCCATCTGATCTGCCAATGCCTCCTGATCCTGAGCCCCCTGATCCACCTGTGTTTCCTGACCCAGAGCCCTCAGATCTGCATCTGCTCCAAGCTCCATACACAGACTTTTGTTTAAGTTGGCTGTTGTCCATTTGGTGAATTCATAGGCAACTCTTTAGTCCAGATGAGATAAGACACAAGCCGACAGCACAGTTGGTTTTCAACGGGGATAGCTCTTTGACATTAGCCCCTTTCACACAGTGATACCGGTAAATTTCTGGAAAATTTCCGGAACGACTTTACCGGTATATTGAAAAAAGCGCTGTTCACACAGGCGAGGACGTTACGGAAATTTTCCGGAAAAGAGCATTCACACATCCATTCCAAAATACCGGTAAATTCTGACATCATTCACCACAAATGAGCTTTAAACGGCTGCGCTTGTATTTGTAAACATTTGACTAAATTACAAACTCTGTGGATGATCAATATTGTGAACAACTTTCGCAGGATCACTTTCGCATGTCGAGATGTTCATAATATGTGCGTGTGCAGGCGCTCATAGGCGCACGCAAAGCTTGAAGGTAAACAAACAACGGCTTATCATAAGCATCTCATCGATGATTATTTACACAGTTGGCATTAAGAAGAACATATAAACATTATCTGACTAACTTCTAGCAGCTAAATGTGTCTGGAAAAATATTCAAAGGCTTTTATTCTCACAAACCGCGCGGACGTAAATGCGTCTGACTGTTGTGATTGGCTAAAGCAGACGTCTCACGTCAGCACGTTCTAGACGTGCACGCGCTTATTACGGGAATCTTGCTTCTGCATTCACACAGCGCAGCATTCCGGCAAATTGCCGGTAATGTTACAACTTCTCTTTCCGGAAAATAGCCAGAACGAATTTACCGGTATTTTCAAAAAGGACCTGTTCACACATACAGACCTTTCCGGAAAATTGCCGGTAATTTTCCGGAAAGGTCTGTATGTGTGAAAGGGGCTATTGACTTGGGGTGTCCCTGCCCTTGTGCCCTGACACTTGTGTGCCCTAACACTCGTCGACTTCCCTAAGCATTACTCCTCAGAAAGTCCCTGCCACAATTTAAAAATTTGTTCCACCTGGTCAATTGAACGAGGGAAGTTTGCAGACAATTAACAACATTACAGAAATTAACAACTTTTATTTTTAAAAGAGTTTTTATATGCATCAGTATTGATTTTTACATTTACCTTTTTACTGTCTTGAATGTGCTAAAGAATGCTTGACAAGATTGAAAATAAGTATATATCTGTTACAAAATGTTTATGTTTCTATTTAACACTACAAATACAAATTATTTGCTACTATTAACTTTGGATCATACAGAAAACAATGTAATGCACTTCAAGATATTATTACATGGGAATTTAAATATCAATTCTATTTATTTTCATCATCACTATTACTCTTTTATTCTTTGCCTACCAACCTGTATTTATTGATCATGATTTCCATTGATTATTTCTACGAAATAAGTTCCAAGTTACTCATTGTTACCTAAAATTAAATAACTAAATATAGTAACAAAAAAGTAACAGCACTAAAGCAGGTATGGAAGCCCATTTCTGCCACTGAATACATTTTTTGATGTTATTGTGTCATATAGAAAGGTTATTAAGTCGTTATAACTCACAATTGTGACTTTATATTATAGAATTCTGACTTTTTTCTCAGAGTACTGACTTCATAACTCATTCTGAGATACAAATTCACAATAACTATTTTTATTGTTAATTCAGTGGTGGGAATGGGCTTCCATAGGAATCTTGAATAGGCTTTCAACTAAAATCGGGATCAGCTTGGAATAATTGTAATTTTCTGGTAATAATTTTTTGCATGCAATATACAATCAGTCTGTTATGAAACCGTTGTTAACCATTTAAAGTGAGTTTGTTAGCATGTGAAAATAGTGGTAATTTGCCACTTGAAGAGTATGAATGACGAAAGTGTGAGTTTTGAACACACTGAATTTTATGACAGCAACAAAAAATTATTCCGTTTGCTCTGCATAGGCTCACGTTTTACTGATTGTGCGAACAGTTGAACTTGTGGCTTGTTAATGCTTTTAATGATTAAAATAACTTGCTTATTGTGTCATTCCAAACGATTCCGTATGGCTTCGCAGATAAAGCTGATAACCCTGCATTAAAATACAGTTGAACGGTTAAAGTGAACAGAGCAAAAACCCACAGTTAGTAGAGAATTTCTCACCTGTATTGTCAAATGTGGAGGGTTTTCTAATGTTTGCTTTCTCTACAATAAACTTTGAGGCATATGGATGGCCTTATTGTTAGTATTTTGATTTATTGATTACAACTTATCTGTGTTATTTTGTTTCAGGAGAGACTAAGCACTGAGAAAAATTACGACCAGGGAACAATGAACACATTTTTGTATATTGTACAAACCCGCATGGTAACCGATTTTTTATTTTATTTATCTTGCTTAAAATAAGCAGCATGTATTTCAGTGTTATGTATATACTGTAGCAACAGTAATTTTTACAAGCTTTCAAAAAATCTTAACCTGATCAGAAATCTGCCAACCTCTTAAATGTTTTTTTACACTATCTATATAGAATTTGTACTCTAAAATGGTAATATTTGCTTATTTTCTATACTCCTGCTTTATAAATCTGTCAAATGATTTATGTTAATCGCGTTATTCGTGTTATAATCACGTGACAAAGTAGCTCTTGTTCATTCAATCACAATAAATGTCTACTTTTTTGATGTGAGGACAAAGATTAAAGGCTTGTTTTATTAGGAGTGAAGATAATTGTAGTGTCAAAGAACTTTATTTAACAGTAAATAAATGCTGTTCCATGAACTACTGCTATTTATCATTATTAAATCTCAAATTGTGTTTGTTTCTTTCTTTCATTCTTTCTTTCTTGTTTGCTTTCTATTTGTACATTTAAGTTTCGTAACGGTGGCGTTTAACGTGCATAGAACTGTCTAATAATAGAATTGTAACGCAAGGACGCTGACAACAGGCGTGAGTTCTTTAGCATAAAGGTAATCCAAAATATGTGGTCAGAGTACAGGCAAAAGGTCAGGCTAGGCGGCAAAGAATCAAAACGGTTAAACAAAGCAAGGATCGAAACACGGCGAAACAAACAAGGAAGAGCGCTTTGTAATGTTTCATAGAGTAAAACAAAACTCAGCAATGTGTGTTGCAAAGAGAAGTGTCTTTATAGTCTAGTTGATGATTCATTAATGAGCTTCAGCTGTGTGTCTGTGTCATCATCAGTGATCTAGAAGAGGTGTGTGTGAACAAGTAAAATGGGATTTGTAGTTGTTTTGGTGGCAAATTTGTAGTTCTCCAGTGGTCTGTATGGACTAGATCGCTGGTGATTGTGACAACAATAATAATAATAATAATAATATTAATAATAATAATAATAAACAATTATATGACTGGTATAAAAAGCCATAAGCATGTATGATATTATTTCTTATCAGAGTGTCTTCTTGTGTGTAAGGTGTTATAGGAAGCACTGGGATACAGAACAGTCTTAGAGATACTTGTTTATTTTATCATTGCAGTGGTTTCGGTGGGTTTCTTCTCAGATAAACCTGATTGATTAAATTATTTTTTATTTCTTAACTTTAGCTTTTTTTAACCTGAGCTAAAACGCCATTTTTGGACATTTTTGCTATAATGATGCACTATTTTGCATGACTCTGAATAGATTTGTTTGAGAAATAAGGTTTTGAGCAGTCTTTTGCATAAGGGAGCAGCACATTCCTCCATCATATTGAACAGATTTAAGAGGCCTTTGCTTCCTTTAATAGATTTATGTGTTTATTTTGCTGACACTTTTATATAAAGCAACTTATAATGAATTAAAATTAACCATTTTATTAGATTGTGCTTTCTTAGGGAATCATTCCCTCAGCCTTATCTAATCAGATTTTTTTCTGTAATAAAATTTGTACCAGTCATTCCCAAATTTAAGTAAAATGAAGAGAACTGAATTTTAATAAGATTCACCTTTAATATATTAGTATTCAATTTATTGTAATATATATGTTGTGTTAAATATGAAAAAAATATTAATACATTGTAATTGCACATCCCAAAATTGCAGCATTGTTTTAAAGAATCAGTGCACAGTGAAGAAAATATCTTTGTTATAATATATATATATATATATATATATATATATATATATATATATATATATATATATATATATATATATATATATACACACAGGGTGGGCCATTTATATGGATACACCTTAATACAATGGGAATGGTTGGTGATATTAACGTCCTGTTTGTGGCACATTACTAGATGTGAAGGGGCAAACTTTTCAAAATGGGTGGTGACCATGGTGGCCATTTTGAAGTCAGCCATCTTGGATCCAACTTTGCTACCCATTGTGTTGGATTGTCAATGCAACCCTCCTCTCCCAGAAGATTAATTGAAATGTAAATACTGTACACATTGTATATAGTATATACACGGCGACAAGCAGTAGGGGCTTGACACCACACTTTTCTTTTTATAAATAAATTCTCTTGTTTTTTTATAGTTAGCTATAGTCATAGTTAGTTTTAGAGTTAGGAAAGTATTTTATTTGTTTTTTATTAGGTTTATTTAATATATTTAAGTGAGTTTGGTGATACGTTGTATCTGTGAAAGGCTGTGAATACTTGGGATTTTTCAGGTTTTTTTATTTTATAAATTTGCAACAATTTCAAAAAATCTTTTTTCACATTGTCATTATGGGGTATTGTGTGAAGAATGCTAGAAAATAAATGAATTTAATCCATTTTGGAATAAGGCTGTAACATTAAAAATGTGGAAAAAGTAAAGCGCTATGAATACTTTACGGATGCACTGAATGTGCTAGCCAGTCAAGGAAGAGAGCACCAGTCCTTACTGTGTACTCTCATCCAGTACCTCACAGTATGATGCAGGGGCATGAATGAAAAGTTAGTGAATGAATAAGCAGAGGTGGCCTGTTGCCTAAAAAGTATATCTTCTGGCGTCTGTTCGCATGCACAATGTGGGAAGTGAACTACGGTTTAACTTGTCGCAAAACATAATGGCCAAAATCACATAAGATGCCACGATGAACCCAAACTGTTGTTGTGTGAAACGCCAGAGGCTAGCTAGCATCAAATGGGGACGTAGCGAACTATGTAAAATGGGAACATGAAAAGAACATTCAAAAAGCAACTCATATAAACACCTTAATCATATTATTGTCTTACTCAGATTAAGGCAAATAATTTGATTACTGATGTCCATGTAAACGTAGTTAATGCCAATGCCAAAGAATACGCTTTTTAGATTATGACCATTCTTTCCTCCTTCCTTAACTCATCTTTCCCTGTTTCTTCTGCTCTTCTTCAATTAGCATTGCGTTTGCATGTCAGTTTGTAAGGTCAGAATCTAGAATTCATTACACAGGGGTTGATTTGCCTGTCACGTAAACAGAGTAAATCCACACCCAGTAGCACGATCCTGCATCGGCAGACAGGAGAGCCAGGCAACCAAAGGCACCATGCTCTCCATGTTTTCAGGAAGGTTATGTCAGTTTCTCAGTGTAACCCGGTTACCTTCTATCCTTTTTCTTGGAGTTTTTTATGTCGCTTATGTTCTTGTCGGAGGGCTGGTATTCTGGAAGCTAGAAGGATGGTATGTGTTGCAACAGATTGCTCTTTTGAAAGAGAAAAGACTGGAACTGCTTGAGAAGTACCCCTGTCTGGGTCAGAATGGCCTCAGTGAACTAGCACAGGTATGACTGGATATTGAGACTACATTTTTCTTAACAGTATGGCGCAGTGAGGGACTGTTTAGACAACTGTTTACACGCTTTTCAATATATGTTTAGCATCTATATTTTTCTGATTTATGTTTTATATTCATATGTTATTTCCAATGCAATCTCTCGGCAATTCGTAACTTTTTGATTTAGTAGCTAATTCGTATGAATTCGTATGATCTAATTCGTACAATTTAGTACGATTTGCTCATCACCCAATGACGGTTGGGTTTAGGGGCGGGGTTGGGTGCCACGCCTTCTTTTTAAAATCGTACATTTTCGTACGACTCGACTCGTACAAATTTGTACGAATTTGCCACTAAACTGACAAAGCGTAAAATACGTACGTTTCCACGTGAGATCAGACTGGTTATTTCATTGTCAAATCCTAAATTCCAAATTCCTGTAAAACTTTCTTCAAAATTCTCTCTCAATTTTGCAAAAAAACTAAAAAAATAAAATAATACTCTTGTACTGTTAAAAATAAAAAAATCTCACAAATTAGAAATAAAAATCTCATACTCTTGGTTACTGTTTGTATGGAGACCCGGAAGGGACGTGATGGTGGAGAAAAAAAAATGGGGGGGAAGAAAAAAAAATGGGTGGGAGAAAAAAACAAACAAGTGATAGGTATTTTTGAAAGTTTTTGCGTTCCCTTACAAACACTTCATACATGACAACCCTGTTTTTGCCGGGATTCTCCCGTATTTTACCATTATATCCTATTATTAGGTATTTACCTATATTTCTGTCATATTTTTAATCTTGAAAGCATGTTAAAATTATTATAAAAATGTCTGATTTTACGTTCTTTCCATTAAAGCTGAGCGTTGATCAGCGCCCCTCATATGCAACCTCTGAATCAGTGAATGCATGTATAAGCGCTGACTGACTCCCAGATCAGCTGTACACGGCATTTTAAAGAGAAGCTTAAGTGCAGGAAAATTTGGGATTCGGGTGTGCGTTTAAACAGACATATACACTTAATATGTAAACATTCCCGGACGTCCTGCATGTTTCATTTCAAACATAACTAATTTCCTCCTAAATGAACACAAACGGGTAAAGTATGGTTTCGTTCAGCACAATCTCATGGCAATTCGTAACTTTTTGATTTAATGGCTAGTTCGTATGAATTCGTACGATCTAATTCGTACAAATTAGTACGACTTGCTCCTCCCAATGACAGTTGGGTTTAGGGGTGGGGTTAGGTGCCACGCCTCCTTTTTAAAATACGACAATTTCGTACGAATTCATATGAATTAGCCACTAAACTGGCAAAACGTAAAATACTTACGTTTTCTCGGTAAGTGACACCTCTGTTATCAAACAAAACAAAACGAGAGATTCATTTCCTGCTCTTCACTTATTTGATAACAGAGGTGTCACTTTAAATATCGTGTACAGATGCTGATCTGGGATCAGTTTATCATACGGAGCGAGTCCGTCAGTCAGTCAGTTTTGAGAGGAAACGCAAAACATATTTGCGAGATAGCGAAAAACATCTTTGTGAGGAAAAGCAAAAACTTTCAAAAATATCTTTACCTACAACTAGGCCCACACGAAATCTGCGAGCGCAGAATTCCGCGGATTTTTAGCCCATCATTAATTCTGTTTATTTACTTGAGTAAACGTGTGTAAATCTATATTTATTCAGTTCTTTTAAAATTAATTACAGTTATATTATTGACTAATATGAAAATGTTCATCTGATTTATGTACAATGCAGTTTGTAAAGTAACATTTTCTGTCTTTTAGTAGAGATATTATATGAGACTTACTTTGTTTACCAAATAAAGTGAATCTAATTGGATTTGCATTTTAAACATTCAATAAAAGTTTAAAAGATATTATTTTTTATTTCACAAATTAATGTTTTAGTTGATACTGCCAAAATAATTCCGCAGAAATCCGCAGATTTTTACCAAAATTCTCCGCAGAAATAGCAAAAAACTTCAGAAGATTCCGTCTGGCCCTGTCTATCACTCGTTTTTTTTCTTCCGCCCATTTTTTTTCCACCATCACGTCCCTTACGGTTCTCCATATGCTTGTTATCGTTAGCTCATATATTACAAATA